GATTGAGCTGGGCTGATGACATATTGCCACGTTCGTTTCTTGAGAACAAAAGGCTATTTGGTCTGGGGAAAGCCCGGCTATTCACTGGAAACAACACTGCCGATGACAGCGGTTGGCAAACTCAGTGATGACTTGGGTATAAGAGCACACAACGAAGAAAATACCCTACTGTTCATAAAAACACCACACACGCCAAAACTGTGACCACTCCCTCTGTTCAGGATGAGCAGCTTTCGCTTCTCTTGCCCTGCTACTAGCAGAAGCACTTAAGCCACGTCCCCGAGACCTCAGGGCCTGGATGTTCCTCTTTGACCACTTGCCAAACCCTCCGCTTCAGCCAGGCGAAAAGCAGAGCGCCGACTGCCTCTCCTCAGGCTGCTGACAGCTCTTAATTGCTATTACGCTCACAGGGGCAGTGATACTTTCTAAAGCTGGAGTTTTCAAGTGTTCTGCACCCAAAGCCGAGGCCAGCATGGCAAACGCAGGGTTGGGAATGGCTCCCACAGCAACAGTGCCTTGCACGTGGTTGCCATTTCCTTTGAAAACCTGGCCCCAATTATAGACGCCAAGCTTTTCTGCAAATCTGGCCCTTAAAGCCTGCTCCTTTTCCCGCTGCAATCAGTGGTGACGTTCTGATTGATTTAATGGGGACAGGCACAGAGACTTAATTAAAAAATTGGTAACTGCAAGAAAAGGAAGGAATGAACTACAGCCTGCCAGATCTCCAGTAGGAAGCAAGCAAAGGAACCAGTTGTCCTTAAGACAGAGATTTTAGCCTCTCCAAAAAAAAAAAAAAAAAAAAAAAGTAATAAAAGAGATTGGCAAAATGGCCTTGAAGCTGCTTTTAAACATCTTGTAAAATATATAATTGCTTTTCAGATCTTGAGTACTCTATCTACCTTTCAGATCTGTCCCCTGGGAAGAAAATGCGAAACATCCTGAAACAGACAGCCCTTAACAGCAATTGGTATTTTCAACTTTTCTTTTGTGTTGGAAGGCAATTAAAACTTTGCTTAAAACTCCTTGCTGTTTGACAGATAAGATGGATCAAGTCTAAGGTGTGTTTTTCATATTAGTCCAGTTGGGGGTCAGAGTGGCATTTTTAACCAGCTCTTGTGTTTTAAGAAAATACTAAGATTCTCAATTAATTTCTGTATGAAAAACCCTAATATCTGGAGGCTTACAGACACAACACTCCAGAATTTTTACTGGCTTTGAGGATTATCTCCATTCATGGAGGGCCCGCATAACAGACTCAGGGGCTATTTCTACACTGACAAATGCATCCACCTGAAGGCAGGATCACCAGTGCCAAGAGAAGCTGTGCAGTGTTAACCCTGGTGCAGTCTCATTGATAGTGCTTGGGAACGAATTATCCCCTGAGCAAACTATCCCCCATGACGATGTCTGAGCTTGTTTTGGACAGAAGTTTGTTTGGACATGCTATGAGTTATTTGATAGGGTAGATATGCTTGAAGTGTTGTAGTCCTCAAGGGGAACAGTTAACTTGGGTATATTTGATCAAGGCTGAACACTAGGTTGTGTTCAGACAGGGTGAAGCCATTTTTTTCTGTGCTCAAATCAGGGAAATGTCAGGAGCTCAACAGGCTCTCTTGATCCCCCCCCCTTCCAGAGGGGGAGCCAGGCTACACAGATGTATCAGTTGCTGGCTGTGGTAACTTATCTGAGACATTGGCTGCCAAACCATGAGAAGAATTCCTTGTTTAAAAAAATCCCTCACATTCAGAGCAGTGTCCTATCAGAGTTTAATGCTAAGCTAGTAGCAATCAGGAAAGAAACCAAAAGCTCTAACTTTCCAAATTCCCAAAGCTCCAGAATGGATTCTAATTCAGCTAACAAGGTATACCTACCTAGAATTCAGTACAAAAGGCATCATGCAGCCAACAGAAATCAGGCAGAAATTCTGCCTGTGAGAGTACTGTGAGGCAGGTGCTTTATTAGCACCAGCCAACTCTTGGCAAAACAATGTCTTGCCTTTCTCCTGGCACAAATCCGTTCCGCCTCACCACTGTGACGCTGGGTTAGCAGAGAGCACTCATGCAATCTCTACAATCTCCTGCCTCTGGATCAATACAAATGCAAAACATCACCAGGGTTGAAATGAGGTAGCAGAAATATCTAGGTGTCAGGACAGTGTGCAACAGCTCCCTTTTCATGTGAAAGCTGTTCAGAGTGCTGCAACGATTCTTTTCTGGGTGCAAGCTTAGGCCCTTGCTATGGAAAAAGCAAGTGTTTCTAAGCAGCAATCTCTCAGCTAAGCGTGCTAACGGATTGTTGCCCTCTGGTAAGGGTACCGTTCCTCAGCATTCACAAAATCTCCTGAAAATGGCATTTGTTAGAAGGGTATGGCTAACATCACAGTAGCGGTGCTATAGTATTTATATAATATCCTCAGAGAATTTTGTGTGTACAGCAGGGTGACACTGGTTCCCAACTCTACATTAAAACGTCTTCTTAACAATCTGACCTTCTCTAATGTTAATAAGAGGAATATGCTGTAATTGCCCATTACTGCTAAAACCCCAAAACATTATGAGCTGCTCCCGCTGCCTGGCTGTCGTAATATATTTTTGCATTTGACTCACTGACAGCTTCTACCATGCATACTCACATTGGTTAGTACCTCAGGGCTGAACCATCCAGCATCTTGCTGACTACAGTCCACATAGTTTAGCCTGCAAGGAATTCTGTGCATCTGCATATACCCCATTTACTTTCAGAGGTCAGCAGACTGCAGGGATTTATCCTCCAATTTATAAGCACAGACTGAAACTACCAACAAAACACATGAGAGCCATCATTCAGTTTTGCTTGTACTAAGCCACAGTCTCAGTGCTTAAGAAATAAACAGGGTAAACAAAAATGACAAGGGAATAAAGCACAATCTGACTTACTGCATTTACTCACAGGAGCTTCCACAGGGTTTCTGTTTTGTTTGGGGTTTGCTAGTGTTTTGCAAACCGAGACTGTATTTCCTGTAAAGAACAGAGCTGATTCTGTGGCGTAAGCAACCATGGAACATTATTCTCCTAACAGCAGGAGATGTTAGGATGAGATGCACCAAGGGTTACAAAGCCCAAGGTGAGACATTCTCTAACTAGCATAAACATGTGGGGCAGCTCTGCAGTTTTCTGCCTCGATGTTCGTAACAGCAGGCATGCTCACATAATTCTCTGGTTTTCCCCTGCTGTGTATTTTCCCTGAGCCAGTGCTCTAGGAAAGTAACTACGCAGACTTGTACAAGCTGTGAGGGAAAGGGAGAAGCTGAAGGGCTAGCAGGGCAAGGGACTGAAAGTAGGAAGAGGGGCCATTATCTCAGCCTGTACACAGGACTTGCACAAGCCTAGCAGCTGCTCTGTTCACAACAAGTGTGATTATCTAACATCATTATAGCAGTCTAGGCTGTACAGTTTTGGTTGCTAATTGCACGTTGTGGGTGATGATCACAGAACTATTTCCATACAGCTCACAATTATATACTTACAGACATCATAGTACATATCTGTAGCTCAGGCTGCCATTCATCTTCCATTATAGGAAATAATGTTCTGCCACTCACATTCTTGCCAAGCTGTTCCCTTCTGGGCCAGAAGTCTCCATTTCAAGCACCAGAATCAGGATGAATTGTTTAGGAACACTTCAGTCAAAAACTCCTAGCTATTTCCAAGAACAAAATCAGTTAAAACTGACTCAGGCTGCTGGTTCAAAATAAATTCTTTCAACTGTTTTAATAAGAACAAGCATTTTCAGATTTCATGCAAAGGTACAATATCTAGCTGGATGGTCTCTGAATGGAAGAAAATACTGTGTGAAAATGTGTCCTTTTGCCCTCTGAAAACTCACATTTCACACATAATACCTACTACAAGCAGACAGTGCCGAGTTCAAAAGTTTTAACTTCATGGTGGGAAGTACCTTTTCTGTGAGTCTAATACTCACAGAACATGCTGAGAAAGTAGAGGACTTTAGTATGGGGCCTTTGCCAGAGTGAAGACATTTAAAAAACCAGAAGTATCAGGCTATCACACAGATTCAAAAAAGACAGAATATTCCCATTCCTTCTCTATCTCTGCTATTGAAACCAGGTAACTTAAGCTCTTGAAAACTTGGATAGGGTTCCCAAAGTAGCTTCTCTGCATGTGGCCCTGCACACCACATGAAATATATGAATTTATCCTACTTACACACTGAACTTTGTAAGTGCATAGTCCTTTAATGTATCTAAAACCATAATCATACCTATGATGACAATCTCCTTATGGCTAACATGGGCTGTCCAGATGTGCAATACCAAGTGATTCTCTTGGGCTTCAAAGATCCAACACACATACCAAAGGAACAGAAAACACATTTTAAATTTCACTCTCCCCTTTGCAACCGCCACTTGTGTACCCTTTCCTACTGGTACACTTTACCCTGTTAGTATGAGCCAGGAATTTCACGGGTTTGATCCATAAAATGCTACTCGCTGTGGCGCAACACAGCTGTTTACAACAGCTTCCCAGCGCAGAGGATGCAGGCCCAGGTCCTGTAGCGCGGCTCCCCGCTCCCAAAACATAACACCCCCGTTTCCAGCCCCACTTTGGTTAACAGTGGCCTCTGTCCCGAGTGGGTGCCCTGGGAAACAATCCTTCCTCCCTCTGCCACCCCCTTCGCCAGGCCCAGCGCTCTCCAGCGCGGCGAGGGCTGGCGGGAGGCACGCAGGTGGCTCCGAGCAGCCCTCCTTTCCTCGCCGGCTAACGAAGAAGGGCTGAGGAAGGGATAAGAAAAAACAACCCACACAAACCGCCGTGGCGGGGGGGGGGGGAAGAGGGCACAACTCCCCCCCCTCACAGCCACGCACTACCCTCCCTCGAAGCCCTCGCCCGGCCTCCCGGTCGTGGCCGCCCCTTAGGCCCCGACCCGGCGCCGGGCGGGCCGGGCCGGGCCGGGCCGGGCCGGGCGCCTTGCGTAAGGGCACAGGCGGGGCCGGCCCCGCCATGTCCCGGTACCGCCGCGCCCCGTGGGTCGCGAAGGGGCTGCGGGAGTACCCGAGGTGCGGGGCGGCAGCGGCCAGGTACTCGCTTCTAGTGCCTCACAGGTGCCTCCGATTTGTTTAGGGGTGGCTACGAGTCAGCTTCCAAGCACCTCAGTCCAGCCGATGTGGGGGTGAACGTGGCTGGAAGGTCCTTTCTGGTCGCCGGTGCAAGCAGCGGCGTTGGCAAGGCCGCAGCCGAAGAGGTGGCGCGGCGAGGTGAGCCGGGCTGCGGCGGGGCAGGTGGAAGGAGGCAGGTTTGGCTTGCCAGCGCTCACACACACCCCACAGCTCCTCGGGATGAGGGGTCAGGCGTGTTATTTTACGGGACTGTTAGTGTGGGTTAGAGGTTTAATGCATGATCAGCGCTGTGAAAACTGGAATAATGAAAAAAAAATCATCGGAGAGGATCTGCAAAGCGTTTCTCAAGTACGTGTTTACCAGAACTATCTGTGTTACAGTGGCATCTAAGGATGTTGCTGATGCATCAAGGTTTGTTTAAGGCTGATTTAGGGTGAGCAGCAGCCTGGCTGAATTTGAACTGTTTTGAAGAACTTACAAACGTATCATCTGATGAAATAAAGCAGTTGGCTTTGCTAAGTTGAGATGGGAGAGTATAAAAGAAGCAACATAGTTGTACTTAATGAGAATAACCTGGAGCTTGTACCCTTTAACTGATTACATGCAACCATTTTTTCTGTTGCTTTCCGTAAGCAAGGAGATGGTATGTGCTGAAACTATCTCCTGTTGAAGGATAGGCCTAATCCCTTTCAGGGTTGTCGAAATAATTCCTGTTGTGCATGACTGATAGGAGTTTTGGCATGTAGAATAAAAGGGAGGAGCTCTTTGCTCTCTGTTTGCCTGCTTAGGTTTCATAACTATCTTACGAAGGAAAATGACAACTGTTAAATTAAGCTAATTCAAAATTATTAGCATCGAAGAGCCTTTGGGTTAAAGATCCCCATCAGTGCCAGTATGTGATTGATTTCAGGTTCCCACTACTGCCATTATGTATAATAGCCTTATGTAAGTATTACTTTGTCTGGTGACTGTTTTGCTCACAAATGGATATGCCTTCCAGGTTTTACAAGCTGTCAAGCTGACTGGATCTGCACAGGATTTGGTCACCATTTCTAATATTTGGAGCCCAAAGAACAACCTGGGGCTCAGACTGCTTGTCTGATAGCTTGCGTGGGTGTTTCTGTGCATGCGACTTAACAGTGTCTTCGTGATCCTATCCTTGCACATGTTGCTCTGAAACTCAGTGTCAGCTGTTGGAGCTCTGGCTTCTAGTTGAATGCTTTAACTACACCATGACAAGAAAATAAGGAGTTTGGACCCAGCAAAAGAATAACCAAGCTATGTTGGCTTTACCTTTGTAAATGATGATGGTCCTGACAGTTTCTTTAGCCTGAGTTCAGCTTTTCTCTGAATCAGTGTCTTGTGGGTATTGCAGATTTGGGCTTTCCTGAATGACTTGTGAAATGCACTTCCAGTTTGATGCAGTCTTCTCCCAACCACTTTGACAATTCCCGTGTGTTGAAGTTCAGATGATTTCAGTCTTCACCATGGAAAATACATTTAAATCCCTTTCCTAGCCCATGGGTCACACCAAAACTTCCCTCTCTCAACAGCAAAAAAAAAAAAAAAAAGTTTGTATTCAGGGCCCTTAACCCACCTCTGTTTTCGTTGAATGTTTTCCACAGTAAACTATGAGAATGCTCCTGATCACCTTGAAGACCAGCTACTTCTTCCATGCATTTAATTTGTACCTGCACATATTACTTGTGCTGTCCCCTGCCTTTTAGGAAGAGCTCCTTAAACATCTGCAAATGCACATCCTTAACTGCCTTAAGATCTGTAATTAAAGCCCTCCTTTGCAGGGAAGCCTGTAGTCACTGTGAGAATGGCCAAAGAAGCGAGCTTGGACACTGCCCCTTCTGCTTGCTTTTTCTCTCACTCGTGAAATCTGTTCTTCCTGGGGCAAAGACTGTCTTTCATGCTGATCTGTATTTATTCAGTGCCTGTCTATGCACCGTCCCTTCCATGCATGGTATATGTGTGACACAAACTGAAGATGAAACTGTAATAATTAATGTCATTTGTAAGATTATCCCAGATTCGGGAGTTTCCTGCTGCTGCCTGCAGTTGTGCACTTGGTAAAAGTAACCCAGCCAACTCTCGCAGTGCAAGGAAGAATCAGGCCCTGTTAGAAAATTTCAGAAGAACCTTGAGACTTGTTGCCTGCATCAGCTGCATGACAGGTATACTTGCTGTAGTTGCGCTTAGTGGAAAAACCTCGCTCGCAGACAGAAAATTTCATGATCAGACCCCCCCACTGGGCTGGGCAGTGTGTGACTGCTCTGTCACTGGGGTATACTTGCTGTCTTGCATTTGGGTTCTGGGCACTAGAAGAGTGACCTGGCACCGTTGTTTCTATTATCAATCCTTTGGGATTACATTGCTTGAGCCTTCTAGTGATGGACTGCTAGCAAGCCTTAAAACACCTTTAACAATGGGTAAAGAGCGCAGGTACTCCTGGGTCGGAGATTAACACACTACTTGTAGTGATCAGAGAATACCAAGCATAAAAATAAAAAAGAATTATGCCTACCTATACTTTAGTCCTCTTTTAGAAGGCTCTCTTTAATGTGGCTAAGTTATGAGGTCACGGTAAGTATCCAGGCCTTTGAGAGGAGCCTTGCCCTGTGTATTCTTTTCATAGAAATGTCAGTTGGAAGGGGTCTCTAGAAGTCATCTCGTCCAGCATCCTACCTGAAGCAAGACTGTTGCCAACACTAGATCAAACAAGCCATTGCATTGTCTCACTGGATCGTGAAACCTGCAAGGATGGAAATTATGCATCCTCTTGGGACAGCCTGCTCTATTTAGAAAATTGGTGAAAACTTTTTTTCTTAATGCCTGACCTGAGCCTCCTAAGCTGCAATTTGTGGCCATGGTCCTTGTTGTATCTCCCACTGCTGAGAGGAATTCTGATATCTGACATTTTTATTTCCTTTTCACAGAACAATTTCAATCACTTGTGTTGTTCAAGCCCTTTACAGAACTTTCTAAGGCACGTGTCAAAAGAAGCATTTGCAATAGAGATGCCTGAGCTTCAGTTCCCAGTGTAGCTCTGGCATTTTAGCAACCCTAAATGTGATATGCAGACTTGACAGAAAATGGTTGGAGGACACAGTACATAGAGTGCGGTGGCCTTTTGCGTATGTGCAGCCTTGTGTGAGGACCTTATTACAGCATGACACTTGCTCCTTCCTGCCTGCTTTCACTGGGACCAGAGCCAAGCAGAAATTTTCCAACCTTCTAATCATATCCACTCTTGGTGTCCTGAACCTTTTGTTTGGAGGACCTTTACCTTTGTCTTTTGACAGACCCTGTGGTGATTCTTGGTGTGCCCAGTCCGCCTGATGGTACTGCTGGGTTGGTGCCATTTGGGGGGGGGATTTGTCCCTGAGAATGGCCCGAGGCTGGTGGATCTGGGTCTGCTATGGGGTGCTATGGCTCTAACCAGCTTCCTGCGCCCAGCAAGTGTCATGGGAGCCCCACAGACCCACGAGCCCCACAGACCCGAGCTTCAGCAGCCTTGATGAAAAGCCACTGCTCAGCTCTTGGCAGCAGAGAAGTGGGACTTTTGGCTGTGCACAGCTCAGGAACATTCTGCCTGCTGAGAAGCTCCCATGATTATTTCAATGACTGTCTGACCAGTATTGGCACTGCTACTAGCAGGCTATATGTTTCCCACAAGCTGGAAAGTGATCACAAAAAGTTTTCTCTGTCATTCGGATTGTATCAAAAACTAACCCCAAACAAGAGCTGCAAATTGCACATCACTTTCTGGTCCTCCCTCTTTGATGCCCCCCCCCCCCCCCAACACAGTTAGTAATTAATTATCAAATGTGTTTCTTGTCGAAATCCACCAGGTGGCATGGTTCATCTGGTTTGCTGAAATAAGGAACCGGCTGAGGTTGCCAAAGGAGAAATAGTGACAGAAACGGGTAATCAAGTGAGTTGTTTTTCAGTCTTTTGTTTACCGTCGGAAAGATTGTTAATATTAAAGACCTCAGATGCCTTGAGATACTCTGATTTGTCATTTTGCTGTTGTGTTTTTAATAGTATTTTCATGTGGACACAGAAACATCTAGTAGTTTATCATCCATATGGTTTGAAGTGATTTAATTTCACTAGGTGATGTTTTCTGTGATTAATAACGTCACCAGCAGCATGCTGTTTTATTTAATGTTTGTTGTCAGTATGTTTTGTGATGTCCTACTTACTATTCCTACTATGTGGCTGAGGCTTTTAAAAGTTAATGCATTGCAACATTCTTGCAACAACATTTATGAGTTTACAGCATTGGATTTGAAGGTTTTATGTGTCTGAGTAACATGCTCCTGATTTGCTAAGGTTGGCTGCTCTGTGAAGTCCTGCGTGTGGTCCTAGTTTCATGATCTTCATACTTTTTCATCTCTTTTTCTTATAATATTTCTTCCTTACCTCTTCCCTTCTGTTGCATATTATTTTTGCATCTGTATATATCACTCTACAATATATCCCTGTAGCTGTTACTGTTGCTTTTGCTAATTGTTCAGGTGAGTGTGCTTATGGAGAGGTGCAGTCACTGTCTTTCTATCCTGGTGTACTGGTTTTGGCTGGGATAGAGTTAATTTTCTTTACGGCAGCTCCTGTGGTGCTATGTTTTGGATTTGTGACCAAAGCAGTGTTGACAACCCATGTTTCGGTTATTGCTGAGCAGTGCTTGCACAGCATCAAGGCCTTTTCTGGTTCTCATGATGCCCCCACCAGTGAGCAGAGGGGGGGTGCACAAGGAGTTGGGAGGGGACACACTGGGACAGCTGACCAAAGAGATATATCATACCATATGATGTGGTGCTCAGCAATAAAAGCTGGGGGAAGAAGGAGGGGCATTGGCAGTTATGGTGTTGGTCTTTCCAAATCACTGTTGCGTATGATGAAGCCCTGCTTTCCTGGGGATTGCTAAATGCCTGACAATGGGAAGTAGTGAATTAATTCCTTATTTTGCTTTTTTGCACACACAGCTCTGCTTCACTTATTAAACTGTCTTTATCTCAACCCACAAGTTTTGTCTGTTTTATCCTTCCGATTCTCTCCACCATCCCACTGGGAGGGGAGTGAGCAAGCGGTTGTATGGGGCTTAACTGCCTACTGGGGGTTAACCCAAAACACTTGGTTGGAGAGCTATCTTAATTTTAAATAGCGACTTGGCTCTTGAACACAGTATTTTGATTGCAGTAATAGTTTTTAATGTGGAACAAAAATTCTGAAGACTCTGTGGTTAGAGGTACCATATTGACTAAATTTCTGCTCTTTGGTTTCAGCTCCCTAGTGTGACACAACCAGCATCAAACTTCAGTTCTTTAATGGAGGTGAATTAGATCGGTCCTTATGTAGAAATAAATACTTTCCAGCTGTGTATAAGTGTGTAATCCCATGGCTGTAGTAAGACTGGTGCTTATCTGTTACCTCCTTTTCTAACTTCAGTCAGACAGCCTGGGAAGAGGGGTGAGTTTGGTGACCTCTGAAGGTTCCTTCATGTTCTGTTTTCTGTCATTTGGTGAAACGAAACTGGAGGCAAATAATGTTCTTCCTCTGGAAGCAGCACAATTGCTGCATTCCCACTTTTTGGTAGGCTGCAAACCTGTAGTTTCTCTAGTCACGAAAGAGTATGATGGCATTGCAGAACTTGTTTGTGACTCTGGGGACAGGGCACTTGTAGAGAAAGCAGCACTCAGTGAAGTGTTAGATGAGCTGTACAAGAGGCCCTGTGGGACATGCAACTGCAAGAGTCATTTTAATAAGGAGTCCACAAGAACATCCTTCTTTATAAGTACTCATTCAGAAGCAATCCAGGGAGATAATAAAATCCTTTATCTGCAACTTCACAAGCTGTATTCAGACTTACCTTTTTCTTCCTGATCATCTGGATGGAGATCCTGTTGTAGTATAGGCCAAAATTCTTTTCCATCTTCCACATCAACACAAGTCAGAGTTCAGTGCTGAAATGGAGTTACTGTTTGGCAGGCACCCGCACCTAGACCTGGGAACTGGGAAGTTCTAATCTGTTAAAGTCACTTTTATAGGGAACAGGCCAATGTGACAGTCTTCAGCTTTTCTGTACCAGTCGATAATGGTAGTAGCTTTAAAAGTGGAAAGCTTTTATAGAGGTATCTAGTTAGAAACAGTAGAGCAGTGTCAAGTTTTTGGTCAGAAATGAACATTACCTTGAGAAAATTCTGACCTAACTCAACTAAGGAGCTGAAATCTGGTTGCTGGACAGAAAAAGTCATGTGTTTTTTATCTTCAGGGAAGCAGAATTATAGGCAGGGAATAATGCCTTATGATTTTCTCAGCTTCTTCGCTTATCTCATTGGCTTGTATAATGAGTATTTAAAGAAACAACGTGGAAAGAGAGGAGGCCCTTTAATGATTATTTGTTGTTTTGCATGAGAACACGTCCTCTGCATAATTATTTTAGTCTTATGACGGGGATACGTCATAAGACTACCTGTTGTGCATCTTTGAGACTAAGTGCTATCTAGAAGAGTAGGAGCTGACATGCCTTTTGTATGTTGATAAATGCCACTGTGCTTGTACTAGGTAGAACACAAATCTGCAAAAAGCAAGAGAATTGCCTGTAACAAACAATAAAAGGTTTTTGATGCTTTGGAGAGAGGAAATACTCCTAGCTTTAGTGGTTTAGAAAATTATAACTTTGCTCTCTGTCAAGCTTTTCCTTTTTTTTTTTTTTTTTTTTTATTCTATTACATCCACATTCCTGGCCATAGTATTTCAAAACATCGCCAGGCTGTTGTGGCATGGGGTGGCTAACAAGGACTTAGCAGTTAATGAAACAGTTAAGATGGAAGGGGGTGCAGAAGGCACCCAACACTCTGAGACAGTTGAAGTGGGCGCAGTGATGCTCCTGAAAATGTGCTCTCCTGCCCTGGTTGGAGCGACTGTGCCTGGCATGTGGGAGCCTGGCCCAGGCAGAGCTCCAGAGGAATGATGTGGCAGATGTCAGGCTGCAGGGAGCGACTGGTATTTTTTCCTGAGGCTGGAGCAGAGCATGAAGGTGGCCTCATCTGTTGGGTCCTGCTGCGGTCAAGGTGCTGGGCTGCCACGTGAAGTGACGGCAGGTGAGCAGGCTGCATAACCATAGGCAACAGAAACAGGAGATTGACAGGGTCTTTTTGAGAGTCAGAGAGCACAAACTCCACAGTGCGTGGAAGGAGGGACAGCTGGAAGCTGTGCTTGAGTAGGTGGTGGATAGAGACTCCTAAGATGGGGAGGAATGGAAGCTTGTGACTGCTGGCAACAGAAGGCAAGCTCATTCTCTGCCTGCAGATGTGCATTTATAGGATAAGTATACTGCCATGGTAACAGATGAGGAAGAATGAGCTCTGTCAGGGGAGGTGTTGGAGACAGATGAGCCTGAACTGTTGTCAGCACGGGGAGGAAGTGGTGGGTGATACTGGCTAGAGGCTCCCTCCTGTGAGGGATGGAGGCACCCAGCTGCATTCTTGGATTGGTCTCTTGAGAGGTTTTTGACTTGCTGGGGACTCAGATCTAGGGTATTGTGGAGAGTCTGATGAGGCTTATCTGGACCTCAGACTAGTACCTCTTGTTGCCCAGCCACGTGGGCACCCGTGACGTTGTGAGGGGTGACCATGATTTCATCAAGGGTGCTTGCAGACAGTGAAGGACGTGAGGGCCCAAGCAGTGCTCTCCTAAAACCTACCAGTGAAAGGGAAGGGCTTGGATAGGAGCATATGCACCCTGCAGGGTCAACACCTGAATGTTCAGCTGGTGTCAGTTTGGCCTTTGTCACTTTGTCTTTGGCCTTTATTACCTCTGACCTTCTGTGAGAAATGAGCACTGCTGAGCAGGAATGATGAAGTGGAGCAAGAGTATCTTTACCAACAGGTTTGTTGAGTTAATGAGGAGGGCTTTAAACTGTTTTCGTTGGGGGATAGTGACCAAACCCAGAGGAGTGGTGGAGTCATGGGGACAGTGAGTACATGTCTAGGGGGACAGCAAAGTGGAGGAGTCTCTCACAGTTTTCACGTGAAAGCAACATGACTGGGAGCCCATCTCAGATGCCTGTACATAAATGCACGTGGCATAGGAAACACGGGAATTCATGCATGGTTGCAGAGCTGTGATCTCACTGGTATTAGAGAGATATGACTGGCATGCCTAGAGTGCTGGAATGGATGTATACAGGCCCTTTTAGAAAGGCAAGCTGGGAGGACAAGGAGGAGGAGTTGTGCTCTATGCAGGGAAGTGGCTTGAGTGCGTGGAGCCTTGCTCTGAAATGGATAGTGAGCCAGTCGAGAGCTTATGGGGTGAGGCACAGAGGTCGGATCGGTGTGGATGATATGGTGGATGTCTGCTACACACTGCCTGATGAAGTCGAGGAAGTAGGTAGGACATTTTTAGAGGGCAAGGTTAGGTCCATGTTCACAGGTCCTGGTACTCTTGGAGCACTTGAACCACCCTGACACCTGCTGGCAACACAGCAGGGCAAAAAAAATCCAGGGGATTTCTGGAGAGTATCGAGGACAATTGTTTGATATGAGTGTAGGACAAGCCAGGTAAGGGTGATCTCTGCTGGATCTGCTGTAAATAGCAGTCTTGGTGGAAGTGGCCACCAGATTGTGGAATTTAAGATCGAGACAGGCGAGAAGGATGAGTAGTAGAATTAAAACATTTGATATCAGGAAAGCAGATTTTTTTTTTTTTTACACAAATATAAGCAGTAAGGTCTGCTTTCGCAGCTCTTAATCAGCCTCACCAGAGGTATGCAGCAGCACAGAGGAAGCTGAATTATGATTGTAGTGAACTAGGAACATGCCTGTGTTATCGCTTATGAATGTTACATATAGACCTCTTATCCATTTACGTATCACTTGATGCATGACTGTCTTAGAAGGTCAAGGAGGTGACTGCACGTTTGAGCAGATGAGGTAAAACCGGTAAGGTCATCTTCTGTTGTCCAACTTCTGGAGAGTTCAGACAAGGACTGAGTTGTTTGCTCAGACTGGTTCTCTCTAGGCAACAGTAAGGATTACATTTTGAAGCTTTTAGAACAGAGTGGGACTTGGTTGAGCTGGAAGAGGCTGTCTGTGCAAGAGAAAGCTTCTATGCTTGCAGGTCAGACACATGAAGGACCAATGCTACCAACAGTGCAGGGTTTTTTTCTTCAAAGACAGAGATGAGGTAATAAATCATATCTGCTGGAGTCACAGTAGAGCTATTTGGAGAAATGCCTGCCAGAGTAGATGCTGCGTTAAGTCATTTTGCTAAGCACTAGGTACCTTTGTGTGTTCTTTACTTTGGGGAAGTTATTTGTGTATCAGTAACTATCTGTGGTTATAGGTTCCCAGAGAAAAACTCGGCTAAATTAGTTATGGCTGGCATATAGGTTGTCTGTAAACTAGAATGGGATCTGAGAGAATGAACTGAATTCCCCTCTCTGTTTCTTTCCCTCGAAAAGCTAAAGCCTGAAGGGTGACATGGACTCAGGGCCCCTGTTTTGAAAATCTGCAGTTGTGCCCCTCATCAGCAGCATGGAATCAGTAACTCCTGACTGCCTCATTTCTGCAGAAATAAGATAGAATAATTTTTTATTGTTGTTTTTTATTTTTATTTTCAGACTGTCACATGCAGGGTGTTCCTTCCATCTTTCTTTTACTGGTTGTTTCTACCTTGGATCTTGGCTGTCATATAGTGAAGGAGTGTGTAGGTTGTAACTATGTAAGAATGCAAGACTCTGAACCATAACCATCTTTAAATGCAGGGCAAAGTCTTTGAATTCTGTATCTGACACCTGATTAACATTTATGTAAGCTGTGGAATTGTTCATTTAGGTGTTTAAAATGCTGTGGAGCTTTTAAATCCAGGCTAGGAATATTTTCCTCTTGACTGACTAGTTAGTTTGGTTTTGAGCATAAAGGGTGTTAGAGTTCAGTTCTAATTGATCGCCTGAGTTGTGAAGCATGCTGTATATCTTGATCTTTTCTTGGGCATATGTGGGACAAAAATGAATGCGTAAGTCCTGTGGTAAAGAAGATGAAGATGAACAAAAATAATATTGTTTAGAATAGAAAGGAAACTACCCTTAATATGAAACACCTGACTGGCTGATTGAGGACAGCCCACTGAAATAGGAGGCGCAGAGTCCTCTGGTGGTGTCAGCATATACAGCTGAGTGAAGGTCATGAAAATTCAAAATGTAGGTTGATAGTTCAGGCTTTGTGTGGTTTGTCTGATATTCAAGTTCAAACTGTAAACTGGTTTGAGCAGGCGGCGGCAGCTCTGTCTGTGCTGGTGCCTAGCATCCTTAAAACAGGGCTCAGGCACAAATGCGCTGTGGCTTGTCCTGGTTCTGTTGTTGCTGTCACGTGAAATACCTTACGTTTTTTTCCTGCTGGATCCCCCGTGAGTTGTTGCTGTGATTGCTGGAGCTCAGTGGAGTTGTAGAGAGCAGAGGAACTGTGGGGCACTTAGACGGGGATGCGGGAGCGCTAGGCAGACGCGGGTCCGAACTGGCTCACCGCTCACCGAATCACTCCTTCGCTATGAAATGGAGTGACTGGCCTGGGGTGAGGTGGGCAGACTTCCCGGGGAGCTGCCAGCCCCGACGGGCAGGTTTTATTTGTCTGTCCTTCAGTTTGTGTGCTGGTGCCCTTCCGTTTCCTCCAGTGGGCTGGCCTTGTACTGGGGTTGTGTCCAGGAGCAAGGCAGTGGCAAGCAGTCACTTCTTCCGATGAGACTCGAAGACTTCTGAGTCAACACTTCTCTTTTTCTTTTTTTTTTTTTTTTTTTTTTAATTGAATTTAATTTTATGTTCAGTTATTTTGGGAAAAACCTGACAGCATTGGTAGGCAAGTGGAGACAACAGCAACATGTTCTTATTAAAGCATTAGGCACTTAGCTGAAACAACCCTTGTTCCTCTATTTTATAGTCTGCCTCACTTTACTTTTACTCAACACATGTTCTTGCTTGATGTGGAAAAATGGCATGTATGTTACATTTTTATTTCTACTTACCAGCCAAGGGGATGCTGAAACACACTCAGAGATAAATAAATGATGCTCCCAGTATACATCTTTTCTTCGGTCTAATGTGCTCTCATGTTTTAATAATATAGCCATATACATTTACTCTCTGCAGGAAGGGCTAGGACCAGAGGAAATAAGATGCTTTTCCACCACAGCAGCAGTACAGCCCATCTATGGCAAATTGCCTACCCTGCCTGGATACTTGTCAGTCTCTTCCCTACACATAAACCATATCTAACTGGTGTTTCACACAAGCCAGCATTCGCTGGTGGATTGTGCTCTGAACCACTCGGAAGTCAGGCAGCTTGGATACCAGCTGTCGGTCTGCCCTAAGATCAGTGCCTGGTCTTTGGCAAGACAGCTTTACCTGTGAAAAGGAGACTAGGGTACCACTTTTCTTTCTCCAGAGCTTTGCGACTTACGGATAAGAGGTGCTGTGTGAAAGGGTAAGGTTGAATATAATTGCAAATCAACTAGCTGTACTGAGGCCTACATTCCCAGGACACAGATGAACCCTTGTTGAGCTGAGCTTTGTAATTCAAGGGAGATGTAAACGTTTGTTTTGTCTTTCATGTTCATTAGCTCTTCCCATACACTCTCAGTTACTGCTCGTGTGGTGGAATTGGCTCTCAGAGACAGCACACTGAAATCTTCGTTCCTGATCATGTGCTCAGGAAACACTCGGGGATGTTTCTTACTCGGAGCTACATAAATTGAAGGCTTGAAAAGATAACCAGGTCAAGGAAGAATGTCAGTTTGTTTTTTGGTTTTGGTGTTTTGTTGTTTTTTTTTTTTTTCTTTGTTTGTTTGCTGTTTTTTTTTTTTTTAAGACTTAGACATAAGAAAAGCAAGCCAATTTAACTGATGTTTACCAGATGAATGAGCCATTGAAATCTGTACAATAAAAGTTTGTTGGATTTTTTTTTGTTCCCACTTTTTTCACAGTTGAAATAACACTGTTTCTAATAATACTGCAGAGCTTAGGCAGATGGAAAACTTCACTGAGTATGGTGCTGGCTGCCTGCCCTTATCTGAATGTTAGCAGATTAAAAACCTCACCAACGATTTACCGCTAATTGCCAGATAGAACATCAAGCAAAAACTATTCTAGAATCCACCAAGACACTACAGTCTGCAATAATTGCATCATCAATTAATTTGATGTTATAAACAGGTAGTGGCTTCACAATATTACTTCTGCTGAAACCATAATTTTCTTTATAAATCAATTTTCAAGTACAGGTTTTGGGGTCTCTTTAAATCTGTAAGGCAGCTAGGAGTTCGTGTTCATGTACTATTATTGTATGTGATATCCTGTGGATTTCCAAGTCTGAAATACATGAATCCTAAGGAGCCTTCCAGGTTTTAGCAGGCTAAAGCTGAGTTACACCACCAGCCTTTTGGAAATCTGTCTTTGCAGTGTTTGTTTATATTTTCTGTTAGGGCTGTTCTGTTTTGCTTAGTTTCGTATTCTAGTACAGAGCGAATTGTAGCCTTCTGTGGGAGAGAGCAGTGTCTAATGCACTGTAGACTTCCGTCCCTTGCTTGGGGACAGCTTTCACTTTGGTTGTGCTGTGGTAGAGATGGTGAGATCCCCGGGCAACTAACTGTTGCAAGAAAAAGGTAGCCTAATTTTATTTAGGAGTTTATGAAGCAGACAGGCTGATTTTTGCAGTTTTCGCTTCTTTGTTTTCTTTTTTTTTTTTTTTTGAAAAAGCCCCCCACTTAGTATGCTAGTTGAATGTTTATCTTCGTAACAGCTCCTCATTTTCTACAACTGCCTCATAAGGTATCACTCTGTAATTGTGAAACCTCTGCATTACCGCTCATTCAGGCTGACAGCGGAGCTCACTGTATGGAGTTAAAAATGGGAGTTACTCATCAGAGCACAATATCAGATTACTCAACTAAATTGAGAATATATCAGACCAAGTGGAGCAATTACAAAACAGGCCACAAGGGAGTGCGTGGTGATTTAATTCTATTACTTTTTTTTTAGCAAATAAACATGAAACTTAAAAAACCATTAATGTGATCAGCACTTGGGAGGGAGGGTGTATGAACAAAGTGTGCTCTCATTAAGTGCCACGCTCGTTGCTTTTACTGGAATTACCATGTATGATGCACAGACTGACAGCCCACACTGCCTAACCTACCACGCGGTAGAGTTGGTTGAATGGTGTGTAATGGCAGAGTCGCTGTATCCATATAGGAAGGGTTTAATTACACTGTACTGTACACTGCTTCCTATTATGTGAGCTCAGCTTCAAGACATAAAACTTACAGGAGTTTTTCGAAGGAAAAGCAAATGTTGAGAGGATGTTCTTCTTTAAAAGAAATCGTGCGTCAGTCCCAGGAGCCTCTTTAACTGGAGAAAGCATGGCCAGCAAGTGCTGTGTCAAGCCTCATTACACAGAGCAGGGCTGTAGCTTGTCCTGTAGGTTTCTCTAGTCAACTTTTGAGCTCAGCAGAGTTCAGCAAGGGCAAGATGAAATCCTGTACGTGGGGGTGACACACTGCGTGGTTACTTGCCCACTGCTGCATTCCTGCTGCTTCTGAGCAAGCTCCCAAATTCATCTTGCTGGGCTCCTTTGTGTCGTGGCAAATGCTCCTTTTCAAAGGGAAGTGCTGTGTAACATTTCGCTGCAATTTTATTTTTTTTTTTTTTTCCCCCACCGTTACACCAGTGGGATTCAAGCTTTCAGGCCATGTAGACAACATCCCTTCCAGTGGCAGGAAAAGGTGGTGTGTAAGAGTCTGGCCTGTCACAGCCATAAATGCAGGGAGTGCAGCTGTCTGTCCAGCAGTGCCGTGTAGGAGTACTCGTAGCTCCCTGCCTGCTGGGTCCGAGATGCGTGTGCGAGAGAGGCTGATGCTCAGATTTCTGCCCCGTGAGTCATTTCAGAGTAGCCTGCTCTTTTCCCCAGGCACTCAGACCTGTGGAAGACATGGGCCAGAGTCCAGGAGAGCTGTTCATACAGAAAAAAACATCCTGCTCCCAGTTGCCACGTGTCCCGGAGGGCTCTCTGCTCCTCTGTCGCGGACACAGCTGCTGGGGAACAGGCACTGGGAAACGGTGGCCTCGAGGCTGAGCATCTCCACTTACAGAGTGTCTGCTTGAGACAAGGACCTGCTTTCTCCAGAATCCCCCGGGAGTAGCAGCAGTTCTTGTTTTCTGGGGAAAAAGGTCTTCCTTTGTTTCTGGCAGAACCCTCCCTGGTCCTCTCAGAGGAGGGGCAGGATCACCGAGCTACCCTGTGCTTAATGCTTTCAGTGCAAGGCACATCACAGTTGGTCATCGCCTTGCCTCCCGTGCACCTTTGTGTTCTCTCTTGGTCTTTTTAAACAATTGAAAAAAAAAAAAAAAAAATCAAAAAAAATCTGGGCAGTTTGAACACAGTGACAATTAAGCGTTAATCACATTTGATGTGCTTTACCATTTTTAAGTAAGCTCTGTTGGAGGGGCTTTCTCCTTTAGCAGACAAAACTTACTTTTATGTCAAGAAAATGTACTGGAGTGCTGAAGTCTTCATTTTGGAAAAGCACATGTCCAGTACATTGATATTAATAATCAATTCTTAGCAAAAGGACATATGATTTGGATGTTGTCTGAAGTAGGGGGAGAGCGGAATGTAGTATTTTCTACCAAATCACTCCTGGCTTCCCTTGCAAAATTTTTTTTTACTAAAAATAAGAAAATTTTCCCTTTTTATTTTTATACTGTTAATACCTATCGTGTTTTTATAAGGACTGTGGCAGGACAGCATATTCATTTGCAGCTTCCCCTTTTACTTAGAAATTAATTAATATATTACTGCGTGCTGCGGTACAGCTGTGCTTGACGAACACACGCTAGGAGGTAGATGGCTGTGCCAGGCCTCTACATTGGCTGTACCTGGCATTCCTCCTTAGTTATTTGAACACAACTATCAAACTACGCGCTAGCTTTTACGTGAATAAAAAGGTAGAGGTTTCAGTTGGTGGTGGTGTGTTCCAGCCAACAATATAGCTTATTAATAAGGTACGTCTAATCTGCTGTTATTGTACGAAATTTCTTGTCAGACCAGCTCATGCAAATAAGAATGTGTAATATCCAAGTATATTTGTTAAAGTGCCGAGGAGCTTGTGCTCAAAGACTTAAAACAGGGGCAGTAGTTGGTGAAGTACCTGGTAGTGGGAGAAATGAAACGCTGCAGTCCTAACGCCCGACGCGTCGCATCTCTGCGTGTGTTTGGAGATTCTCATGCTTGCCGTAGGAAGAAGGGATGAAAAACTAATCTTTTTGTGCTCTGTCTCAAAGCAAATGAGCAAGTGGTTTTGTGGGGCAAGAAGATGGAATGCTCTGGCTCTGTGGGATTTACAGGATTCTTAATAAACTTGAGGAAGAGAGGAGATGCTGGCATTGCAGTTAGTTCGTGGTTTTAAATAAATGCATAAACTTCTGACAAGCTGTAGTTGCTGTAAGGAAGATTTTTGGCATTGAACATTTCTCTCATCCAGCTGGAAAACAAACCAAAACTCAGTTGTTAATGAGGCAATGCATTCATCTTTGCATCCCTTTAGAATTAACAGTCAACGTGAAGCCCCTTAAAAGTGTAAATTAATCCGTGGGACAGTAAAATAAAGCACAGTCACAGCTGGCGCATTGCAGCTCTGCCTTTAGGAGATGCAGCTTTTTTAACCAAGACACGATGCCGAATCCATAACAAATCAACATTTGGTCCAGGCTCTCAGCTTGTACTGACGTGATTTTTGTACGTGTTTCTGGGTTTTTTTTACCTGGCAGCAGCCTCCCGTGACAATCAGCAGTAGTTCTTGCCCTAATGATGTTATCGTTCAGTCTCCCTGACGCTACCAGGGGAGACGTACGGGCTCTCGCTGCTCACTGGCAACTGCCTTTGCTTGCGTTTTCTGCTGAAGGCAGGCGGCACTCGCTCATCTGCTGCGCCTTCGCTTTGTTTGGTTTGCCAGGGTTTAAAATATATCGTGTGCATATGGATGTCCCTGTGATTGTATGGAGCAAACGAAGACTGCTGTGACTGACGGCAGAACCGAACAGTTTGTTCACCAAGCATGTAACACGTTTGATTTTGGTAGCGTATTTATAAACGTGCCGTATTTTAACTGGGTGGTCTCATTGCCTCTGTGGAAGAGAGGTTATAAAGACACGTGGGGAAGTCTTGATGTCTAGTGAGAAACGTGGCCTCGGTAGCTCATGGAACAAAATACGTTTGTCACCATTTGTGAAGAGATGAGAGGGAGGTATACTTAATGCAGAAACAACAGACATTAAATGGAGCTAGAATAATTTTGAATTAAACAGCATTTTAAAAATACAGTTTAAAGGGGAAAAAATTAAAAATACATCTGAAGAGATAAACAAAAATCCCTGTGTTGCACTTGAGTGGGCGAAACGTCATTAGGTGTGCCTGAATCCAATACAGCAGCAGCTGAAGAATGTTTTGAATAGCAAACTTTGCTGGTCATGGAAACAGCTGTAGTGGAATATATTTGTGTGTTGTGTATGCATCTGTGCCAAATGGACCTGGTAAAAGTGGTGAAGGACACAGTTAAGTTTCTCCAAGTAAACCTAGCTCAGCCTTGGGCATGTAACATCAATATTTCCTGCCCCAAGGATTCCTGCTCTGTTTTCTCATGGGCATCACCTCACCCCCAAGGAAATCCATACCTGAGCCAGTTTGCCTCCCGAGTCACGGCTGAATGTGGTGAGCAGTTTGTTCTGCAGGTACAAGAATAAGTTTACAGAATAAGTGATGTGCCTTTTGAGAAGTATGCAGCAACACGGACCACTACAAGTTGAGCTGGCGTATTGCAAATAAAGCAGCAAAAAAAAAAATCATCATTAAATTCAGATCGAGTTTCCAAAATAAAGAGGCTTTGGGGCTTGGGTAGTTACAGAGGGTGGGGAGAGAAGAAAGCTTTTTCTTTGAAGAAAAGTTAATGTTGGTGCCTGTCTGTCTTTTAGGCACATACATTCTGAGAGCTGCCCTGCTGCCCCTCCTGGAAAAAGAAGCTGATGCCAGAGTGGTGAGTCTGCGATGCTGTTGAAAAGTGGTGTTTTACTCTTCTTCCCTTCTGGTTTGTGACAGTATTTCTTTGCCTGTGCTAGCAACGCAGGGTTAGTTAGGGAGCTGTAGGCATCTCTAGAATCCTCTTGAATTTTACTAACCGCCTCCTTCTCCAAGGCCCAGTTTGTGCTTGCTACTCTCAACCCTTCACTGGAAATCAGAGTAAAACACCTCCTTTGGAGACTTCCCCTTTTGCTTTCCCTGGGATAAGTTATCTCATGCAGCATAGTGCAAAACGCCTATAAAAGGAGTGTGGGCTTAAAAGAACCTTACAGATCTTGGGGTAAAATAGGACGGCAGGTGCATTTTTTTTAAATGAAATTTCCCAAGTTTTTTTACAGCCTCTTGTTTTTTAATTGGCTTCTATAAATGCTAAGCATAAAAACTTCAAATAGTGCTGTTTTCTTTCTCCCGATTACTTTTCCAAAGGAAGAAGCACAAAGTTCCCTGAAGGAGGCAACGCCACTTTGAATGAAAATCACTTTCTAAAAAAAAATTCCGTTTCTTCCACCTCATCTCCAGGTGTGCTCCACGCCTGAGCACAAGCACAGTGCAGGGAGTATGCAGAGGGATTCCTAAATATGGCCTGGAGACCACATTACGTGCACGAGTGCGACTGTGGGGAGTTCCTGGTTTTGTTTTTCACTCATTTGCTTTTCCTTCGTTTGAGCACAGATCACTGTCTCTTCTGGGGGCATGCCAGAAGTTCAAAAACTAAACATATCTGACTTGCAGTCGGAAAATGGGACGTTTGATGGCACTATGGTATATGCACAAAACAAGGTACAGTCCATGGTTTTGAAAACAAATCCCAGCACTTTCTGTTAGGCAGCTTATGACATCTGTCCTGCAAGAAGCCTGTTGTTCGCTGTCGCTTTCCCGTTCCACCCAGCCCCCAGAGAGACGCACAGGCGATAATCTTCAGGAGCACGTGCACCGCTGAGTGCGTGCCGTCTCGCACGGACAGCATGGCTAGACTTCCATTTGACTTGGTAGAAGTCTCAAGGGGGGAGAATTGCCTTTAGCTGACAAACCTTTTTCTGCCTGCTTCGTTCTTACCAGTAGATGTGGTCGCTAAAAGCAGCGTAACCACTTTTAGAGAAAGTCTGTGGCCAGGATATGGTTCGCAGCGGCCAGGGTGGTCTCTGGTAAAATTACCCAGTAAATCCGATCAGGGTGAGCAAGGGTGTATTTCTGCTGTACGTAAACGCCCTGGTATTCACAGCACATTTGATGTAGTTTATCTTCCTGGCACCTAACTGGGTGGGCAGGCTGTTGAACTTGATGCTAGTCTGGCTCTTTTTGCTCTATCCTAGAGACAGCAAGTTGTCTTGACAGAGCGATGGGCCAAAGCTCACAGAAACATCCATTGCTCTGCTATGCACCCTGGCTGGGCAGACACTCCAGGCAACATCTGCTTGACACTGACTGTATTTTTTTGTTTTCCTTCTCACAATTAGTCTAAAAGCAAAGAGAAATGAAGCTTTCTGGTAGGTTTCTCCAAGGGGTGCAGTGATTCCTTGGCTCCAAACTGGTGAGTGAAGTAGTTTTGTACCCCCTTGGTAGCTCTGTTCTGCACAGCGTCCGCTCCCTGTGCCTACCCAGAGAATAATAACGGGCAATGACCGGTCCCAGCCCCACGCCGACCCGCAGCAGAGCCCTAGTGCTTTCAGCTAACCTCTAAGTTACGTTTGTAGCGGGACTGTGAAACACAAGAGACAGAGCTTCTGCCTCTGGAAGCACCAAGGTGCAGAGGTCAACGTCCAAGGGTCGCCCGGCACGCACGGTGCATGCCGCAGTGTGATGCCAAGCCTGGGACGCAGGCTAGCAACCCGATCTCTAGGTCTTTTCGAGGGACACGGTTCCCCAGATTTGCTTCTGAGGACAGAACCATTTACCCTGTCTACTTTATGCTTGAAAACTGCCCTTTCCGACTAAATATCCTAGTATTTCTTTTTCTTTAAAATCCAATTATTTTTGCGCATCCTTTGTGGATTTCAAGCCTAATGGACCATAGTTATCCCACCTTAAAGCTCAAGGACTCTCCAGCACCCAAAAATAAACCGCTGCAGGGGATAGACCTTCAATCATCGCCTGTGTCCTGGTTTAGAGCGGGATGGGATAGACCTATATTTTTTTTTTTTTTGTCCTCCTTCTTAGTAGCTAGACTAGTGCTGTGTTTTGGGTTCAGTATGGGATTTGATCTAAGAAGAATGTTGCTAATGTACCGATGTTTTTAGCTGTTGCTAAGAACTCAAGGGCTTTTCAACTTCTGATGTCCTGCGAGCGCGCAGGTACACAAGAAGCTGGGAGGGAGCACAGCCAGAGCAATGGACCCAAATTAGCCAGTGGGATATTCCACATCATCTAACATCATGCTCAAAATATAGGTAAGGGTGGATCGGGAGGCTCATGCCGGCTTCCAGGATTGTGGTTTCAGGATTCTCTCTTCTCCGGGATCGCTAGCTGGGAACGGGCTGGGCATCCATCAGCGGGTAGTGACCAATCACACCCTGCATTGCCCATTTGTATTTTCTAGTATTAATATAATTACTATTTTATTTTATTTCAAGTATTAAATTGTTTTTATCTGGACTTACGAGTCTCCTTACCCTTACCCCTCCAACTCTCTCCCCCATTCCCTGGGGGTGAGGGAGGGTGAGTGAGTGGCTGCGTGGTGTTTGGCTGCTGGCCGGGTTTAAACCACGACAACGTGTTGGACAAAAGAAAAAGAAACCAGAGGAGTTGGTTATGGTAGTTAGTTTGTTGTCGGTTGAGGTACCGTTCACCACAGAGTTTCTAAATACAGTGCTGCAACTGATTTCTTAAAGCTGGTGAGAAAATAAGACCTAAAACTCCTGGTAGAATAGCTGGGGTTTGGTATTTCTGTTTCCCTCATGTCTCACTGCTGTGCAGTTTAGAGCAAAATTGGCTCCGGAACCTCTCACCAATCCCGTTCTCAGCTCCTGCTCGCTTTGCCCCAAACAAACAACGGGTGGATCACCTGGCAGTTCAGCACCCTTGCACCACAGGTCATCGTGCTCCTAGCTATTCTTGTTCTCTTTTGTAAACTCTGAGATGCCTTCTCTTCCTCCTACACGCGCAGTGGCAATTTTAAGCTGCTCTCTTTTTTTAAAGAAAGTCTTGCGTGGCAGACCATCATTCCATTGTTATCCTCCCTAGCTGTGAGATCATCCATGCCAGCCTTCTATCAGAAGATGAAGAACACCCTGCGCACCGAGGCCCAGGGAGCTGATACTGTTTTATGGTTGGCAGTATCACCACAAAGTTACCAAGCGGCTTGTTCTTCCAAGGTAAGGCAGCAACTGTTGTTCAAAGGATAAAATATTTCTCAAGATCATTCCAAGACTAAAGGTTCCGGCGAGCATTGTGCAACCAGAGAACAACTGTGTTAAGTTGTTCTGTTCCAGGTCTTGGCCTTTAAAGTAGCTGATAGAGACTCCAAAGCATGTCTTTAGGGAGGGTTGGTTTGTTGTTTTTTTTTTTTTTTTTTTTTGTGTTTTTTTTTTTTTTTTTTAATGAAAATGGCTGTATGCAGGACTGTGCCAAGGGAAGGTGAATCACAGCAGTCTAACAGCATCTTTTATGATGCTTGGAAACTAGCATCCTTCTCACAGGGCACCGGGGGTTGGCTTTGCTTTGACAGGCTCTTCTTCCTACTCTTCCCTGCTGGTTAAAACCGCCAGTTCCCCCTTTCTGTAATGCTGGGCAGAGACTCGGGCACAGTGGCATTTTTGGCACTGTGAGCACAGGGAAAGGAAAAGCAGGGCAGAGCCTTTCTTGTCTCCCGGGCAAACGACAGGCGTCTCAGTAGGAGCAGCTGGAAGCACAGTTGCCCGAGTGGTGATGCAGGTCAGTCCAGAAGGAGGAGAGCAAAGCTCAGGGTAATTGCTTGCAAAATTACTTTTGTTGGATGTGGCACCCAAATCCTGATGCACTGAATTCCCAGGTGGGGCACGCAAGAAGTTCAGACTTCTCGGGAGTCGGGTTGGCTTTGTCCCTTCTGTCCCCTCCCAGACCGTCGGTTAACAGATCTTGAACCAGACCTTTTCCCTGTCATTCTGTGGGGCATGCAGACGCACGCCGCAGCCCAGCTGGTTAGTCTGTTTAGAACCAGGCTTTGCCTTTTGCATGTTCCTGTCGCCTTCTTCCAGTCCCAATGCTTCTGCTCAGCTGTTCTTTCTCTAAATCAGAATTCCACCAGGCCCTTGCCTTTGGCTCTTGTCTGCCCCCAGCTTTAGTAAACAGGGAGCACGCCTTGGCTCTTTCGCTGTAGCTGCTGACTTTTGAGAGCTTTGGCCTTGGCACGACTGCACTTGAGGCTGCAAGAGAAGTCCCGTGATTATCAAATAGCGATGAAGTCAGTTATTTCTCTCTCCTACTGCCTTTTGGAAGCCACAGCTTAGTATGAGCCCTCTTCCTTTCAGTGAAGGGCTTTGTGTGCACAAGCACTTCACCACAGACTCTGCCCTTCTGGTCCTAGATGGCCATTTCCTGAATCAGTCACACCTTCCCTCAATTTCCTCAGTTCTCTTTTATTCTATTCCCTTCGAGTGCAAATCAAAGCCAGCATTTTTTTTTTTTTTTTCCTGAGGAAAAAAATTGGGAAGCAAGAACATGACTTGTACAACTAGAATTCTCTGCATCTACCAAAATAAATAAAAAACGTTTGCGAGAGTCCTGCTTTCCACAGACCAGAAGCATCTTCTCCGTGATGCTGAACTTGGCTTTCACCCATAGTTCCCAAACTGCAGCACAGGCTACTGGGAGAACTAACCCTGTAGGAAGCCATTCCTTTGCAGGGATGGAGAAGGGAACGTTCCTCTGCATGTTTCCCTCCCCTCAGTCTTCCATGAGCAGAGGCTATGTGGTGTGTGCGGCCGGGTACAACATTTGTTCTTAGCAGAACAAACGTCTCTGCTCCCCTGGGAAGCCCCGTAGGTTTTCAGAGAATTCTGCTGCCCAGTGTTGCACCAACTTGTTCCTTTAGTCTCAGCTGGCTACTGCAGAAGCTGGGCCTTCTAACTGGACTGAGAGAGCTCCAGCAGTGCTGTGACAGTTGTTCCACAGACATCCGAGAGCGCTGCCATAAGGTTCCGAGGCTCTAGATACCATGTTTTTGGAGAGAAAATTCCCTTAGAATGGATGGTGATACAGCTGTATTTACACAGAGTGAGTGAGGAGGACAAGGTTTGGAAAAACCACGCAAAGCGTCGAATTGAGCAAATCTGGTCAGACGCCTTTACGTAGGAAACATGTTACTTATGGCAGCTGAGCAATTAGCTTCAGTCCTTCAGCATTTAGAACTTAACCATTCTTTTTAAGGACGTAAGGACGCATTTTAAGATTGAAAATTATCCAAGCTGTGAAGTCCCCGCTGGGGAATTCGTGTAGCGCTTAGAAACGTTGTGCAGGAGGCAAGGCAGAGCCCTGCCTCGTGCTGCAGAAGCAACCTCTGCCCGCAGCAACAATCCCAAGTTCTTGGTCTTTGTCTACAGGAGGTGTGCTGCGGCGGGGTGTTGTGGTTTGGGCCTGGTTGGCAGCCAACCACAATGCAGCAGCTCTCTCTCCCTTCCCCTCCGGCAATGAGAAGGGACAGAGAGCCAGGCTTGGGGTCCGAGATAGGACTGGGATGGGGGAAAATCCCCCTTTATGATCATGAGCAAAAGGCAGACTCGTTAGGGGAAGGAAAAAAGAACATACATTTATTACAGACACTAACAACACATAACAGAGTAGGACAGTGAGAAGCATTGCCACATCTTGAGAACACCTTCCCCCCACCCCTCCCTTCTTCCCGGGCTCAGCTCTGCTCCCGATATCTCTACCTCCTCCCCCAGGGGCGCAGGGGCAGGGAATGGGGGGTGCAGGCAGTGCTGACACTTCCTTCATGTTCGGTGAGGGGAGTGTCCAAAACTTGTTCCCCCTGCTCCATCGTGGTCCCCCTCTCACAGCAGACAGTCCTCCACAAACTTTCTCTGACTTGAATCCCTCCCATGGGCCGCAGCGTTCCCCACACTGCTCCGTCATGGGTCACTAACTTCCTCCGACTGGATTCCCTCCCACGGCTGCAGCCCTTCCCGAGCTGCTCCGGCGTGGGACTCCCCCGCATGCTGCAATCCTCCCAGCACTGAATTACAGCAGCGGGGCTGCCTTTTCCCATGAGACCCCGGCCTTCTTCGGGCACAACACCTTGATCATCTGAGCAGGAACAACAGGCCATAAATCGGTGTCTGCTCCACCATAGATCTCCATGGGTGGCAGGGGGGGCCGCCCTGCCGTCTCCCCACAGGATACAGGGGGGTCTCTGCTCTGGCACACCTCCCCCCTCCTTTCTTCCTCCGTTCCCCCACTGACCTTGGTGTTCATGCAGCTGCAGTGACTCCTCTTCACCAGTCCCACTGCCCGTCACCACGTCCCTTCTTAAATACGTTATCGCAGAGGCGCAGCTGATGGGCTCAATTTCCCAAACAGAAGTGGAGCTGACGTGGAGCTGGGGGAGCTTCGAGAAGCTTCTCACAGGGGGCCGCCCCGATAGCCCCCTCCCCTGCCACCAAAAAACTCCACCACTCACTCAACCCAGGACACGGGGGAGCGGGCACAACCCCGCAGGGGGGCCATCCTCCCTCTGTACTGTCCCCCGGCTAAGGCACGCTGTGCTAGAGAACACCCATTCCAGTTCCAGCGTGCAAATTAGTTTGATTTCTGGTTCGGAAGATACGCTTGGCTAACATTGTTTAAAGATACCTAGAAGGTAAGTTTCCCGGCTTCAAGACCGTGGGGTATGTTTGGGTAGTATAGGGCCTAGCAGAAAAGTCTCCTTTGGGCTAGAAGAGGTAGTTAGATGTACCCATAAAGGATTTATTTTTTATTTTTTTTTTTTTTTGGTCTTCCAGACAGGCAGCCAGTCCCTACCCACTTACCCCTGGCAAGCACCCACAGTCCACCGGAGGATGAGGAGAAGCTAATGGAGGTGCTGGAAGAGTTCTCCCAGAAGTTTAAATCCGCTTTTCCAGGAACTCGGTGTCGCTGCTGGCACAGAGTAACCACGAAGCTGCTCATTACACGGTACCGGCACTGTCGTGCGCCCGCGGGTGAGGGGAAGCAGGACGCCGCGGGCCAGTTAAAAATAAATTGGGTTCAGGTGTTCTCATCATGGGGAAGAGGGGTGCCTGAAAAGGTTTTTTTTTTCTGCTGCGGAGCGTCTCTCCCATTGTGAACGTGCACCTGCTGTCTCAAGACACGGTCAGGTGGCTGTGCAATTTTGAGTTGGTGTTAAACCCCCAAATCATTTCAAACCCTCCGCGCAGGGAAGGGCGGAGCAGCGTTCCCTCGAGAGGGACTTCAGGAGGGGAGCAGGGGATGCTCTAAACCCTGTTTTAACCCCCGCAGCTGGCAGGCTGGCGGCTTCCTCCGCCGCGTGAGGGTGGCTGGGCTCCAGCCTCCAGCTGGGAACGCAGAACCGCTCTGGCAGCGCCTGCTTGGTTTAACTGCGAGGCTTCCTCACGGCCTTCAGGTTCTGTAGAGCAGTGCCGGTGCGCAGAAGCGATCTGCTTCCTCCTGGTTAAACAGCAAGGATTCCGGGACACTGCCAAGTGCCTTCCATGTTACTTTATGGGGCCAGGGCTGAATATAATCCCGCTCATGTCAAGACACCGTGGAGTAGGAGGTTTCAACACGTACCACGCCCAGACATGGCTGGAGCCGGCAAAGGAGTGGCTGCGTGGCTCTAGGCATGAAAAGAAACGACATGCTGAGCAGTACGTGCCTGCCCTTTCTGTGGAAGATAAAAGGGAATTGCTTTGTCAGCATGAGTGGGTCAGGAGGGGGAAGGGAACGCTGCAGGGCGCAGGTTTGAGGGGAATCCTCCCCCTCCGGGTGAGAGGGTTGTGTTTCGCCCCGGGGCTGTTTATTTCCAGACAGAGAGGATGGGATTTGTCTTACCTGACCTGTGGGCGGTTGAATTACTCATTGGGATTCTCACTGAACATCAGCAGAGAGAAAACAGGCGCTTTCTCTCCCAGGGATTTACTGGAGCTACTTTCAGAAACGCCACCTGCGCTCCTGCATCTCTCTGCTGCTGGTGAAGACAGTCGGCTCAGGCCGAGACATTCAGGTGCAGTTGATTCCGTTTTGCCTATTTCAGATTTACCGCAAAGCCACGACTATTAACAGCACTGGTGGTAACACACTTTCTCCCGCACGGAGTCTGTGTGGCAGCGAGGGGCACACAGAGCCCAGCCAAGTTTTCACAGGTGGCTGCGGGACAGGAGGCGTGGGCACAACACACCGAGGTGTTCCGGAGCGACTGGTAGCTAAAGGCCACGCTGACGGGCAGGGCAGAACTTGTTCTGTCTGCTTTACCTAATTCAGCTTCCCAGAGGGTACCCTGCTGCCTGACGGCACCTACTCGTTATTCAGAGACAGCCTGCTAAGTATCAGTTTAGCAAAAAGCCCACCTCTGTGCAGCATCTTCTCAGTCTCCTTGGAAATAAAGGCTTTGCTGGCGACGAGGCCCTGAAAGTTCTCCCGTGAGAAGCGGCGCTGAGAGAAGCCAGGCTGTCACAGCTCTTCCCGAAGAGGCTGGATCAGCGTTCAAACCCTTCACTGGAGAAACTTAACTCCTCCTTGCACCACAGGGAGAGAAAACAACAGCAGGGCTTGGGCAGATGTTTATTTCCCAGAAGTCTGGTAATACCCTTTGACACGGTTCAAACTGTTAAATACAGTTACTGAAAAAAAAAAGCATGGCTGGAAGCATATACAGTAACTACGTTTCTCAATCCAGGAGCTGCAAGGCTGATATAAACATTTGCATACTTGAGTGTTTAAGTCAAGTTGCTTCTCAGCTCTGCAGTGGAGAAAAGTTTAATGCCTGTCATTTAAATAGTTGATGAACCAAAAGTGCACTATATATCTCTCTCTATATATATCGATATCTAACACCGAGGTTTTAGTCCACATTCTGTACTGGTGTGTTTGAGTGGCCTGTATTTTGCCTTTTAGTTGCAGCTTAAAAACGAAACGAAAGGTATGAAATCTGCTTTGATCAAAGTTTGATCCCAGTGTGGAAGAGCCGGGTAGTGTGGGTGGCTTCAGAGCACCTGTGATTTAAGAAGACTTCAACCACGGAGCGGCACTGAGCAACAAAACCCCGAGGCTGCCGCAGGCGGGCGCTGCGGTCCCGGTGCTCTTTGCTTCAGCCCTTCTCCACCAGAGCCGAGGCAGGGCCCTGGAAACACTTCTCTGTCGTGGGGGAAAATTCTGGGTCAGTGTAACAGACACCAGATGATTTGTGTAAACTGCATTTCCTCTTGTCCTAAGATTCGTTTCTGGGCCATGTTTATTATTTGTAGGAAAAAAACAACCAACCAAACAAAACCAACCAACCGAAAAAAAAAAAAAAAAAAGACAATTTGTGGTTGATTAAAGGTATAAACAATTGCTTGTTGTCTGCCTCTGAGCAGCAGGGCGTTCCCCCCTCCATACCCCACTACTTTGGAGTCAGATACCAGCATACCTGCCAGGTTCTGTGCTGCCCTGACTCGCCACGCTTGCTGACGCTGTCCCACTCGCGGGGACCAGGATGCAGGCAGGGACCCCTCTTCCCCTTAACCAAGACTCGGGTGGGGTGTTGAACACACCCTCGGCCCGGAGGAGAGTCTTGCTGGAGACTTCAGTGTAGACAGACTGTGAGTCCGTGCTGAAAAACCCAAGGTAAACCATTTCTGTGGCGGGACAGAGCCCTGGGCCAGCCATTGCAATTTTCAGTCCGGTCGCTGATTGTGTGTTTGGAATAACGGAGCGTTTTCTAAAGCCACAGCAGTAGGAGCAGTGCTAGTTCCCATTAACCAACGCTTAACTTGGTGAGTAGAGAGTGAACAGGGAGTTAACCCTTCCAGAGAACAACCAGTGAAGGAGGGCAGCTACAAACCAGTTCAGAAGTTCTTTTACCCGTGCCCTTCTTCCTTCCCTCTGTGTGTTGTGCTCTCACGCCCCTTCTCGTGACACCAGGTCCCACTTATCTAGAATTAGTGCTGCTCAGCGTCCACCCCCAGTCGCCTTAAGCAAGCTGTTCCCACTCTGACTCCCATCTCTCCTGGCTCAGCTCAGGCTTTTTCCCTGTTTGCCTGCCAAGCAGGCTCACGCCGCTGGTTTGGCTGGGAGAGGCAGTTCTGGGTGCCCGTGGGCAGACCCGGGGACTGCTTACAAGAGGTAATTTTGAAATGCAGGTGAGATGACTTGAAAACTCTCCATTGCTGCAGTGCCCCTAACAGCACCAATCTGGGCAGTGGGAGAAAGAAGGCATTGAGGCGTGATGGGGAGCAAGTGTAACCAAAACACACTTCTGGGGCTAAAAGTGACCAAATCCAAGAGCTTCAGTTCGCGAAGTAGGTCACTGTTTATGTTCCTCTCCCTAGAGGGAGCCATCAGATAAACGTTAGGGGGAAACGATGTATTCTCCTGACGGAAACTTGTCCTCTCTGAAGACAAAAGCTGGTGCCCAGCCTCACAGGGACGCGGTGTCAGCCTGGCCAGAGGCCTTCAGCAGGCCGCGTTTTCAGCCTGCCGTTGGGAGAAACAACTGAAAGCTTTGCTGTGCCCGCGGCGGTCCGCAAAGAGACTGTCAGGACGGAAGAAAAGGGGTAAAACTACCCCTGGTGCAAACTTCAGGGAGGGAGCCCCCAGGACGTGGCATTTTCCTGGGTGGCTAAAACCCATCTTCAGCATCTTCCCCTTCCGTTCCAGCTGAGGAACCTCAGGGAGCTTTGGGGCAACGCGGGAAACTCCGCGGTCCCTTCCCTGGGCGGCCGCCCCGCGCGGGCTGCCAGGCGGCGGGAGGGAGCGCCCGTCGTGGCAGAGGGATGGGCCCCGCGCGCCCGCGGAACGGCCCTCGGCTTTGTGCCAGCTCACAGGGCGGGCGGGTGGACGGGTCCAGCCAAAACTCGGCAACCCAAATCCCTCGTTGCAAGTCAACACAGGCAGAGAGAAGGAAAAGTCACAGCCAGAAGCTGGTGGAAATTAATTTGGTGAGGTTCACTAGCACGATTCATCACTGTGCTGGAGACGCTCACTAACAGGACGGAACAGAACTAGAAGATGTTACGCTACAATTGGCAGACAAGACGGTCAAATTGCTGAGCAGTATTCCTGGAAAACACTGACCAGAACAAAACCCAGGAAGAGATTTTTTAATGTAAATTCCTCTGTTCTGAAAGACAACAGAGCCCCCGAGACACTGCTGAGTATGGTGAAGCTAACTTACCAAGCAGAGAGTCGGAAGCAATGCTCAGCCTTTGGAAATCTAAATCACACCCGAATCTAGTGGTAACAACAAAGACAAATCAAGTTTCTGTAACTGATTTTTTTTCTGAAACTTCCGTGATTACTCGGTGGTGGCAACGCGGCCGAATGCTCTCGGGGCAGGAAAACACGGAGGTGTTAATGCTGGGCCGTTCAGGTCTGAGGGAGGCCCTGACCCGTCACTAAAGGTCTGCGCTCGGTTAGTTTCTGCAAAGGTGCTGAATTCCGTGAGCAGGGATGAAAAAAATTGTGTAAATAAGCCTGGAAAGCACAAAGGTGATAAAACCTTCAATGAATTCAGATTATTTAATGTCTAGGGAACCAATATCTGAAGAGAGACAAACCCCCTATCTTCATAAGGCCCGCCGCCTCCTCTGCACCGTCAGCAGTGATGGGTCTTCCCCCCCCCCCCAGGTTTAAGGTCAAAGTCCTCGCGCGTTTAACGCATTTCTCACAGCGCTACTTGAGGTGGATAAATACTATCGGGTAATTACACCAAAAACCCAAAATTTACAGTCAGATCTAGCACAGACACAGTCGACCACCCCATCACTAGAACAGCTCTGCATTTCTCGTGGCTTCTGGATCCTAACGAGGGCTTGGTGCTGGGGCAGGGCAAGGTTCAGCCCTGTACAGCTCGGAGGAATATTCATTTCTACGCTACCGGCTCTTTTTGTATGCTGATGACCTTCTCTCTTGGCATCTCTTATTGCGAAGACTTTGCCAGTAAACTCTGCTCCCTTGTTTACGTTTGGTTTTGAGTTCCATGTCCCCACACGGCACCAATTTCAAGCCCTTTAAACTCACCCACTTTCTGCTCTTAGCAGCACAATGTTGACCTGCAGCAAACAAAATTTCAGAGATGGCCCAAGACTGGTCACCAGGGAAAATCCTGCAAACTGGGAAAACACACTGAAAAGTCCTATGTGACCACACGGAGTTAACCTTAAATTCCAGAACTTCAGGTTACTGTCAAACTAGGGACCACTTTTTTCTTCTGAGGAGCAAAGACTTGCTGCCAAATCTCACATGCAATTTTGAAGAGAAAAATCTGTTTCTTCCTCCGTATTACACAAGAGGCCAACGCTGAAGAGATTTAGCTCATTAATCCATCCTGAAAGAAGGATCAAGTTTGTTGTCATTGTTGCATACTATTGTCACATATAGAAACAAAGTCTCCCAGCTCTTAATTGAAAACATGCCCTGTACTCAATGAGGTCTCCTGGAAAGGACATAAGCCTGTAAAAACACACACTGCAGACCTACTTTCCATGGGCTGTTCTTACCCAAATCCTAGTGGGCACACTGAGGACAGACATATGTAGCATTTGTTAATTTGTCAGTAGCCCTAGTATTTTCGATTTAAAGAGACATGATTTTTTTTTTTTTTTTTTAAATTTTAATAACTTTTATAAAGCACGCAGTAGACTCTAAATGACAGAATGGTTGAGGCCACGTAGAACCAATTGCGCAGGACCGTGTCCAGTCAGTTTTTTAATATCTCCAGGGATGGAGACTCCACAGCCTCCCTGGGCAACCTGTGCCAGTGCTTGGCCATCCTCACAGTGAAAAAGTGTTCCCTGATGCTCAGAGGGACCCTCCTGTGGTTCAGTTTGTGCCCATTGCCTCTGGTCCTGGCACTGGGCACCACCTATAGCGCCTGGCCCTGTCCTCTTTGCACCCTTACTTGGGGTATTTATATACACTGATGAGAGCCCCCTGAGCCTTCTTTTCTCGAGGCTGACCAGTGCCTTTACGCGTAAGAGAGATGCTCCAGTACCTTCAGCATCTTAGTGGCCTGGACTTGACGTAGTAGCTTCATCTCTCATACTAGGGAGCCCCGAACTGGACACAGTTGGGGAAAAAAAGTTGCCGTTTCCTCTAACAGTGATTTCCTCAGCAAGCATAAAGTAAACTCTTTTTTTCTTTTTCCTCTACATCTGTTTTGGATCACGCCCAACCTTTTTTGCACGTCCAACCATCCACCTCCCCGTCAGCTCCCAGCCCCAGGCGGAGGGAACGCATTCCCTCCCGCCCCGGTACCGCGGGCGCTCGCGCCGTCCTCTCGGGCAAAGCGCCGCCGTCGCTCCCGACGCTCGGCTCGATCTTCCTTCGGCCGCCCGGAAGGCAAGTGGCTCCCGCCCAACTGCGACCCACGCCGTTCCTTTTAAAGCCAAGAAGGGCAGGGGGGGGGCCGCGCTGGAGAACATCGCTTCTCCCTCCCCAACCCCCCCCCCCCCGAGGAAACACCGGCGAAGAGAAAAATGAAAATCCGTTTTTCTGAAGAGCTGAGGAAGAGCCGGTGTGGTGGGTGCGGCCCTTGGCGCAGCGGGAGAGCTCACGGAACGGCCCGGTGCTGCGCCTGGGCAGCCCGGGGAGAAAGGGGCTTCGGTGCGCTTGGGGGGGGCGGGGGGTGCTCCATAGTTTACATCTGTACCCTCCCCTCCCCGCCCCCCAGTAACGAAATTCGTAAAACCAGCTCAGCTTTGTGGTTCGGCAACTAAAATGGAAAGCAAAGGACCAGGCAACGGGGCTCCCTTTTTGTGAAGATCTAGAAGACACTGAGATTGTTGCCGTAACACGGCAGAACAGGGAGGCAGCCGTTCTAACCCTCCCAACGTCAAATTTCACTTGGGAGGCAAAGGAATTATTGTTTTAGAGACACCTATTTTCCCTTCCCGCCTCTACATTATAGCTCTTAAGGTCACAGTAAAGGGACAAACTTCCCTCCCCTGCTCAGCTTCACTTTCAGCTTCGGTAATTTTCTAAGCCAAGACCAGTTTGTCCCCAGACTGCAAGGTAAGGGGATGCTCGGCTCAAACGCAGACGGCCCCGCAGGTACTTTAGTCAGAAAGAACGGCAAGGGGAGTGGTGGTGGAGTTTTTTGGTGGCAGGGGAGGGGGCTATCGGGGCGGCCCCCTGTGAGAAGTTTCTCGAAGCTCCCCCAGCTCCACGTCAGCTCCACTTCTGTTTGGGAAATTGAGCCCATCAGCTGCGCCTCTGCGATAACGTATTTAAGAAGGGACGTGGTGACGGGCAGTGGGACTGAGGAGGAGGAGTTGCTGCAGCTGCATGAACACCAAGGTCAGTGGGGGAACGGAGGAAGAAAGGAGGGGGGAGGTGTGCCGGAGCAGAGACCCCCCTGTATCCTGTGGTGAGACGGCAGGGCGGCCCCCCTGCCACCCATGGAGATCTGCGGTGGAGCAGACATTGATTTGTAGCCTGTTGTTCCCGCTCAGATGATCAAGGGTCTGTGCCCGAAGAAGGCCGGGGTCTCATGGGAAAAGGCAGCCCCGCTGCTGTAATTCAGCGCTGGGAGGATTGCAGCATGCGGGGGAGTCCCACGCTGGAGCAGCTCGGGAAGGGCTGCAGCCGTGGGAGGGAATCCAGTCGGAGGGAGTTAGTGACCCATGACGGAGCAGTGTGGGGAACGCTGCGGCCCGTGGGAGGAACTCAAGTCAGAGAAAGTTTGTGGAGGACTGTCTCCTGTGAGAGGGGGACCACGATGGAGCAGGGGGAACAAGTTTTGGACACTCCCCTCACCGAAGATGAAGGAAGTGGCAGCACTGCCTGCACCCCCCATTCCCTGCCCCTGCGCCACTGGGGGAGGAGGTAGAGATATCGGGAGCAGAGCTGAGCCCGGGAAGAAGGGAGGGGTGGGGGGAAGGTGTTCTCAAGATGTGGCAATGCTTCTCACTGTCCTACTCTGTTAGGTGTTGTTAGTGTCTGTAATAAATGTATGTTCTTTTTTTCTTCCCCTAACGAGTCTGCCTTTTGCTCGTGATCATAAAAGGGGGATTTTCCCCCATCCCAGTCCTATCTCGGACCCCAAGCCTGGCTCTCTGTCCCTTCTCATTGCCGGAGGGGAAGGGAGAGAGAGCTGCTGCGTTGTGGTTGGCTGCCAACCAGGCCCAAACCACGACAACTGCAAAATGGATTTGTGTGCCCAGCAGCCACCCAGACGCAACGCCGACACCACGACTCCTCGGCACAGGCAGGGGGGTGGCCAGGAGCTCACTGCGGGGCCATCCAAGCGCTGCCAAGTTCAGTCTCCCCCGGAGTCAGTCCCTCACCTTTGTTCGAGCGTCACCCGCCCGGCAGCAGCAGGCAGGGAGTCCCAGGCTTGGTGCAACTGCTCCATCTCCTCAGGGACCGAGCGCTGAACTGGGATTGAAATTCGCTTTGGTGCTCCCGTGTTTCTCGACGCCGGGGGAGATAATTCCTGCAAGGAAAAGCAAGGCAGGTCTTCGGCCAAAAAAGCCCTGAGCCCAACGTAACGTGGAACAGCAGAGTCCAGCGAAGTCTCATACACCATCTTCAGCTGGAATGAAATAGTGGCAGGCGAGTTGCTCATCTGGCACGGCCTCCTCAGCCAAGAACACTTCAGCCATCAGAAAACGTGCACAAGGTGTAATGAAAAGCCTTCTGAGAGGAAACGAGCATCAAGCTTCCAGGAGAAAAAGTGGGAAGACTTAGAAAACGATCAACACTCAAGCTGGAAAAAGAGTCTTTTTGGTGCTGTGCGAATTACGTTTGAAAATATGCTTTAAAATATGCTGCCTAGAGGGGAAGCAACCCCAGGCTATAGGACCAGGAAACCGAGGGGGCATCATTTCAGAGAACACGACTGCAAAAAGCTAAAGCACAGTTTACAGGATGTTTGAAAAGAGTTTTCCCTGAAAATACGTATCAGTCCTGCAACATGCACGTGGAAGCCCACTGCCCTTTTACGGCGGCAATGCACCAGTCTGGAATTAATGCCATGGGCTGTGTTAACGTTTTTGTTTCCTCTAAAGTGAATTACTGCCGGACAAACAAAGGAGAAGGTTTATTTTCTTCCGGCGTTACCACTCCAGCAAAAGCACAAAGCTTCTCTAGGTAGCAAGGGGCTCTGTAGCAGGAAACATGACGGCCTCCCCGCTTCAGAGGGGAAAAGTAAAGTCCAAAATGGGGCAAGACCGAGCACCCCGGGCACGTGCTGGCACAGCAGCCACACGCCACGAGGCCTGCTTAAATAAGAGCTGAAGGAAAGCCCTAGGTCTGGTCTGCAGTTCTGTTCTCCACTCCAGTTTCTTCGCAGTGCATCGTCAGCGGCATGCTAAAAACTGAAATGGATTAAGGGAAAAGAGAATGGACTCTACAGAGAAGATCTCTTTGGAAAAAAGGGCTTTTTTTTTTTTTTTTTTTCCTTTATTTATCTTGACAGTGTCCTTCTACGGAGGTAATATGGGTCGATCCAGGTTTTTAAATACTTTTTATTTTTAAAAGAATCTGTAAAACGTGACAACAGGACAATGGGCATCATTCAGCAATACCAGTTTCTGGTCTATAGAGGAAATTAATAAAAACCATCAGCATTTTAAAAAATAAATATGACTAACCGTATGGAAAACAGGAGGAGTCAAATTCATCTTCAACACCACAGACAGGTATAAATGCTGAAATGTTGCTGCGCAAAGTAGAGGTAGAGGTAAACCAGACTTTTCAGACCTCGACCAGTCTCAGATCTGCGCCCCCCGCCCCAGCATGCACACGCTCCCAAAAGTTCCTCTTGCCAACGGTTTCATCTGAATCAGCCTGCCAGCCTCATCAAAGGTAAGCAGGCCTGTGTGCTCCCTGTACCGCTCTGAGCTGGAAAACTCTTGCAGTTTTTGTAGGAATTAGTTGCTAAGCAACCTGGCCCCCTGGCTTTGCAGCTTGTGCAACAAGGGAAGAGGCAGGCAGCTGGATTTTAGCTACTACAACCCAATAAAACGCTCTCCAGGTGCTGTCCGCTGGGATAAGTAGGTGGTAGAGCCCTCTGAGGAATCGCAACAGCGCGTCAGCTCCTCGGCGACGCGCCCGGGGAACACGCCTGGGGCTCCTCTGCCGGGGAGAGCGGGGCCAGCAGGGACATCCCAAACCAAACGTCGCTACCGAAAACTCGCACGGTTAAGACACAACCCAAGAACCCCCTGTACAAAGCAGCAAGTATCCTTGACGTGATGAAGTAAGAGAACTAAAAATTGCACCACAGACGGGTTTCCCGAACAACCTCAAGACAACCGGAGGCAGATTGTACAAACCACTGGTTAAAAAAATACCTTCTCGTGTATTTCGAGCGTAAGTGGAAAGAGTCTTCGTGCAAATGTTCAGCCTTGATCAAGCAGAGGATGCAAAAATCACTGTAAACGCATTAGTTCCTTTCTCATCTGCTGTATGCACCCCGCGTTACCTATCTTCTGCAGTATGATTGGGGTTAGGATAGCTGGTTCCTCCATAAATATCACCTTTCCAGCTCCACTGACGTACCATCAAGACACTACTGGTGTCATATCCCACAACTGTGAATGTAACAAAATATAACAACATGGTGAATAACGGCAAAATATATTCAAATATAGTATATAACGTTATCTCTAAATAATTTGCATCGTCTGGGTTTTTTTTTGTTTGTTTAAGAGAGGCTATGTAGTTAGAGGTGGATGCAGCAAGTCTGAAGAAGTTTAATTTGATTTTCCAGCACTCGTGTCAGACTTGTGGAGGGTTGACCAAATGACCCTCTCTGTATGTCACCACGCTTTAGCCTTACGAGCCAGGTTCACAGCTGGCCTGAAGAGAAAGCAAAAACCCCAAACTACCTTGCTAACTGGAACGATTAGCAGAATCATAACATGTTTCGAGGGTTTATTTTTTTTTTAATATTCAAGCTTTTTTTGAAACTTATTCTTTATTTTCGCTACTTCTTTATCGAGCCAAACAGAGTTTGAAATCAGTTTGTCTTCCCGGAGGGAAAGCTACAGTGAGCCCTGGTCCCAGCCCCTTCAGGCAGCAACTGCTCAGACCAAGACCTCCTTGGTCCTCCCTGGGCAGAAGCCCAGCAGCGAGTGGTCTCTTGGAGGTGGGGGGGGGGCGAGGAAAGCAGGTAGGACATCCCTGCAACCACACGGGAGAGGAAGGAGCAACCTCCTCGCTCCTACCTTAATAACCTTGTCTGTCCCTGAGGTCAACAGCCATCCCCTGGTGGCATCAAAGTGTACGTGAACGATGTTGTGCTTACTGTCGTGGAAAGTAGCTGTGGGGGCCCGCCTGAAGAAAGAAGTCCAAAAATCACCAAGGACTGCGACTACAAGGTTTCCCCCCCCCAAAAAAAAAAAAAAAAACGTTCTCCATCAAGGAAAGAAGTATTTGGATGCTGCCGTAAGCCACGAACTCGGCGACCTCTCCGCTTTGAGACCTTGGTGGCACGAGAGGAGCAGGGGTGGCAGCCCCCTCCGGCCCTCCCGGTGTGGCAGGCGCCGCGGGGGGCTCATCCTGCTGGAGGACCCCCGGGGACCACCCCCCCCCCCGGGGACCACCCCCCCCCCCCGGGCACCACCCCCCCCCCCCGGGCACCATTCCCCCCCCCCCCCCCGGGACCACCCCCCCCGGGGACCACCCCCCCCCCCGGGGACCACCCCCCCCCCGGGGACCACCCCCCCCCGGAGCCTCGCCTCTGCCCAGGACCCCCCCCAGACGCAGGAGCGGAAGGCCAGCTCAGCGCCCACACACTCAACTCTTCCTCCGTTATGGACTCGTGGCAGCTGTCGCAGACCCTCACTTCGAACTCGAAGCCCATCAGCGGGATGGAGGAGCGCTTGGAGCTGCATTTGCCGCACACGGCCTTCCCGCACTTCCGACAGTGATGCTGGTAGGAGACAACAGGCGGAAAGACATTTTCAGCCACAAACCCGCCTCACTGCTCAGGTCGCCCCCAGCTCCACCGTCTCACTTCAGCAAGACCCAGCTGGGGCTGCAGCAAACGGGAAAGTGACTCTTCCTGGGAAGGGGAAGGAAAACAGGCAAGGACTTCAGAATAAATGGCAGGGGGTGGAGAGGTGGGGGAATCTTATTTTTTTTTTTTTTTTTTTCCCCTCCTCCAGCACCTGGGGCAAGCAGCAGCTGCTCACTAGCACTGGGAAGCGGCAGGTAAATCACTGCCAAGGCCAGGCGGACTCTACCCCTCTCCCGTGCTCCGGAGTGACCCCACACACCACCCAGGAAATCATCCCCAACCCCAACCACCCGGCATCTGCGGGCAGGGCTGTGGGCCAGGGCTTCTACACAGCGTGTGGCCAGGGTAACAGGGAGTTTGCAACAGGGCAGAAGGCAGGAGAAGGGAGTCCGAGCTGTCCTCTTTTCACGAGCAAAGCTAGAGATGGGAGGACAGGACGAAGAACCTTGCCACGCACCCAGATGCGTCCCAGCCAGCCGGGCATCTGTTGCAGGGCTGGGAGCTGTAATTACCCTTCCTTGTCCCTGGAAGTCTCACTTCGGGGGGCACAGGGGATGACACCACCACGCAGCAGCACATGACACATTAAGCCATCTCCAAGTCGAGGTGGGATAGGGCTACGTTAACACAGTGTCATTCTGGGGCCCCACCCCAGCCTCTCGGCATAGCCACCCACCACCTTACACCATCCGTCGCCTCCTCTGCCCATCTGCAGCCCCACAAGCACTGGTGGTTTTGGCATTTTGACGCTACCTGCCTCACCTTCTCCTCCACGCGCTGGCCGGGCAGGGCTGCAAGGCTGCAGGACAGCCACGGGACAGCCAGGCTCCGCGGTGGTGAGCGTCACCTACAAAGCTGCAGCTCAGCCCTGCCCCAGCCACCTGCCTTCCCCACCCTCCACGAGAACATCCCTCTCAGCATTTTTACGCCCCTTCCCCAAAAGGCTGCAATCCGCAGCCCTCTCCCGCTGGGCAGGGAAACGCAGCACCGTGTTCCAAGCAGACCAAAAAGCCTTTTCCAGCACAGCCTGAGCAGTTACAGATGTTTATCCAGCTTCATTGAAAACAGCTTTGGTTCCAGCACAACCTCCAAAAATCAGCTGCAAATTTCTTTCTGCAACACATTCAACTAACAATAAGCAAATTCCCACACGGCTAAAGCCATGGAAGGCCCCAAAACAATTTACTCAGCCCAAGGCCTATTACATGCATTTGCTATTGGGACTGGCTGAAAAATAAAAAAAAAAAAAAACAAAACAACCCAAACCAAAAAAAAAAAAAAAACCCAAACAAACCAAAACAACCCAAACAAAAAAAAAAAGAAGGAAAAAACAGACGAAAGGAGAAGAGCGTACCTCCTGATGACAAAATCTAGCCTCATCAGAGGGGGGCCCACTGTCCCACTACCAAGCACTCAGTGAAAGAACAAAGTGCAAGTTCTCAAGGCTTTAGGGGAAAAAAAAAAAATACCACGTTCTATTAAGAGAGAAAAGCCTCATTGCACCATGGTCACACACCGAAGGACGCATACAAACCTGCCTGAGGCCTATTTTCTTACTGTCCCACATTTGCTTGAAGTTCCAGAAGAAAGGCTGGTCACATTTTTGACAGGAGTCACTATCCAGCCACTCTGGAGTCTGCAACACACACACACACACACACATACATATAAATGCAAAGTGGGAGTGAGCGACAAGCAGAAAAGCCTCCAATGGAGCCTAGAGGCAGGACAAGAAAGATATTCTTGGGGTACAGTAATGTGGCCAACAAAACGTGATTGGAAATCCCCATTTTCACAGATGCCAGTTTGATTGTTCCCTGGGACGTCTCTGTTGGCTCAGCTCGGAGCCCTGAAGGACGCAGGAGGAACACTTCTCACCCAAATGATCAAGCAGAGTTCGATTATAAGACCGGAAAAATTACCCAGGAACAAACAAGCCTCGCCCACCTCTCCAAGTCTGGAGTTAAGCATAAAAAAATATTCTGTCCTGTCCTGTCTGGACAGCATTTGCCATCTGCTATTGCCTCTGGTGGGAACTGGGGGCAATTAGTATTTCCAATAGCCAAGCCACTCATCTGGAGGGAAGGGAAAAGTATCTGAAATGCCGATGTGGGGTTTTTAAATTTTATTATTTTTCTTTCTTTCTTTAATACTGTAAGAGGCATTCCTACTGTCAGAGGTATCTGTGCTACAAATCACACATCGGGGTGAGAAAGGCGAGATTCGCCCAAACGGGCCTAAAGGCTGAACCAGCCCTTTTCCCTGCTTTCACACAAAGATGATGGAAGGTCTTCTATTTCCTAGCACTGTGCTGTGGCTAAAGCAGGTTAGAAGATTTAAAGAAAAGAAAGACAATATTACAGACATTTCTCTCTCCTGCAGCCAGGTTTTGTTGTGCAGAGCAGCGTGGACCAGACACCCCGTAGGGAAGCAAGCCTTGCCAGACCCCAAAAGAGCTCAGGAAACACCTGAAGTGATGGGGGGGGGTGTGTGCGTGGAGGGGGCAGACAACCTCCTCCCCGACACGTGGTTCCTCCGATGCTTCTCCTGCCCTGAGCTGCTGGGGGACACGCAGTGCGTCTCCCCACGGCGTTTTGGGGACTTTCCGGGAGATTCTGGAAGAGTCTTGGCTCCTGACGCCTTTCTAGCCGGCTCTCAGTCTGGCTGGCTGTCCTCACCCGGCCTGGCAAGAGCAACGCTCCTTCCCAGCAGATGATTTCTGCTCCCTTTCCCAGCCCACCAGGACAGGAGCCCAGCCCAGGACAGCCCTGCCAGCGCCGCCGCAGCACCCCCGCGACACGCTCCCCCCAGCCCCACCCGAGATTAAATGAACACTAAATAGCATTTAAGACTTTGTGAGGGAGCGCTGTTAGCAAACTGCAGTTGTCTTATCAGAGCTCCTGGCTTCCCGTGTGCTGCAATCTAAAGTGGTAAGAAACGCAGCTGAGGGTAAAAATTAAAAATAATGCAAAAACCAGGTGAAGATAAGGTAAGGCTGATGGAGACCCTCAGCTCCCAGGATAGCTCTGATCCCTCAGCAATAAAAGCAACCACCTGCTTCAGCTTCTTCTGCCAGCTACTCTGAGGGCCGTTCATTCTGCTGGGGCAAATCCTCCTCTTTTCTACCCACAGCAGTGTCCTTCTCTTTAATGTCTAAAGGTTTACGTCTGTGTGGGTGTAAGTTTTCATCTCTTAAGCATCTGAACTCTACAGACGAAGAAGAAATTTTGCTTGTGACAAGTAACCGCTTTGTAGTCAAATAGAAGCACAGCTTCTAGCATCTTTCAGATGATGTCGTTGTACAGCTTTTTTAAAAAAGAGATTAAAGTAAGGAATCAATGGCTAAAATGGCTTAATTCACCGCCATGCAATCTCGGAGATGTGGGAAAATCTGACAGCAGAAAAAGCAGGTTCCAAGCACGCGTGGCATGGAGAAAACCCTTAAATAAGGGCAAAAATACCGAAGCCAAAATCCAAAAGAAAATGATCTAGGACCCAAACCCAAGGCTTGATAATGAAAATCTTGAAAGTTCATGTTTTGCAGGTGGTTTAGCACCGTGAACGCCCTGTTGCCCTCCCGATAACATGCACAAGCCCACACAGCCGTGCTCAGAGAAGGCAGCGCACCCCGTTAGGACCTGCTGCTAAGCCCTCATTTAGTTAATTTTATTTTTCCTCCGCTTTTGAAGCCAGCCTTCTCAGAGCATTGCCACCTGTTTTGAGACAAGCCAGTCTTAACCCTTACTGTAGTCTTCTGAAGGCAGCAAAATAAACAAAGGTTTTCACTTCTGGATGTTCGAGTTGCAGCAAAAGGAAACATCTGCGGGGAAGGAGGAAGCCGCTCTGCTTTCATTTCGCTTTGGGAGATGATGACATAATTGGCCAGTAGATTAGCAATTAAAGAGAGCCAACTGGAATGCTAATTCACAGAAAAAACGGAGCTCCGGTTCCTGACTATGCCTACTTCAGTAGGGTTTTCTGAAATCCAATTTTCCACTTAGCTTTCCTCCTTGCTCGAGGGAGACACACGCAACCCGGGGAGGCCCAAACCCCGCGAGAACCAGCAAAGCTGGTGAAATCCCAAGGCTGCCCAAAAGCCTTGCTCAGACCTACCCACCGCGGGCCCCCAGGCTGCCTCCCTAGCCCCCCGCAGGAACACGGGTGTCCTGGGTTGAGTGAGTGGTGGAGTTTTTTGGTGGCAGGGGAGGGGGCTATCGGGGTGGCCCCCTGTGAGAAGCTTCTCGAAGCTCCCCCAGCTCTAAGTCAGCTCCACTTCTGTTTGGGAAATTGAGCCCATCGGCTGCGCCTCTGCGATAACGTATTTAAGAAGGGACGTGGTGACGGGCAGTCGGACTGGTGAGGAGGAGTCACTGCAGCTGCATGAACACCAAGGTCAGTGGGGGAACGGAGGAAGAAAGGAGGGGGGAGGTGTGCCGGAGCAGAGACCCCCCTGTATCCTGTGGGGAGACGGCAGGGCAGCCCCCCCCTGCCACCCATGGAGATCTGCGGTGGAGCAGACACTGATTTATGGCCTGTGGCTTCTGCTTGGAATAACCAAGGTGCTGTGCCCGAAGAAGGCCGGGGTCTTGTGGGAAAAGGCAGCCCCACTGCTGTAATTCAGTGCTGGGAGGATTGCAGCATGCGGGGGAGTCCCACGCCGGAGCAGCTCAGGAAGGGCTGCAGCCGTGGGAGGGAATCCAGTCGGAGGAAGTTAGTGACCCATGACGGAGCAGTGTGGGGAACGCTGCGGCCTGTGGGAGGGACTCATGTTGGAGAAAGTTTGTGGAGGACTGTCTGCTGTGAGAGGGGGACCACGATGGAGCAGGGGGTAACAAGTTCCGGAAACTCCCCTCACCGAAGATGAAGGAAGTGGCAGCACTGCCTGCACCCCCCATTCCCTGCCCCTGCGCCACTGGGGGAGGAGGTAGAGATATCGGGAGCAGAGCTGAGCCCGGGAAGAAGGGAGGGGTGGGGGGAAGGTGTTCTCAAGATGTGGCAATGCTTCTCACTGTCCTACTCTGTTATGTGTTGTTAGTGTCTGTAATAAATGTATGGGTTTTTTTCCTTCCCTTAACGAGTCTGCCTTTGCTCATGATCATAAAGGGGGATTTTCCCCCATCCCAGTCCTATCTTGAACCCCAAGCCTGGCTCTCTGTCCCTTCTCATTGCCGGAGGGGAAGGGAGAGAGAGCTGCTGCGTTGTGGTTGGCTGCCAACCAGGCCCAAACCACAACAACGGGGCAGAGGTTTGCCCTGACTGACACCACTGGGACGCGCCGGGCTGCCGAACAGGGCTGCCCCCACAGCGCCCGAGGCCCGCCGTGCGTTTCTGCACCCACTTTTACATTCTTTGGCACAAAAGCAATTAGGAGAGTGTGGGGGAAATCTTACCTTCTGGATTGGCAAAGTCATCGTCTACTCCGCTACTGTGTGGTTACACCAGAGGGAAGCAAGACCAAGTAGCGGGTGAGATGGAAGCCCTATTTAAATGTCTTTTTATCAAGAACAGAGAAAAACAACTGGGTTCCAGGTTTCCAGAGATGACAAAGAGCTTTCTTGGTTTGTTTTCTTCAAACCCCCTAATAATAATCAATCCCTCCGTTTACCTCTGAGCTGATAATATTTCTCATGATGTGCTGGAAAACAAAGCAGAGCATCTCACGACACCCTCCTCAGAGGATGTCTTTTGGCACAGCAATGTAAAGGGTAAGAGCCATTTAGCAGCCTACTTAATACACATTTTCTGCCAGCCAATTTCCCCGGTACCATATTATCAAGGGCACAGCATAATTGCTGTATAACAACTGGAGCACGTCCAAAAACATTTTTAAAGCCTGGAACGCTCTTGTTCAGGTTGAAAGTTGCACATTTTAGACAGGTCCCTTTGTTTCAGATCAAAGCGACAAGAACCGAGTACCTACCTCCTGCCTCTCAACATCCATGTTCCAGACGACGATTCCCCCGTCTGCCCCGCAGGAGATGAGCTGCCGAGTATGGTGAGCATAAGAGAGAGACTGAACTTTATCGCTGAAAGGGAAACAGAACAGTTACTGATCAACCATCTATGGCTAGTACACAAGTAAGCACAGGATGTACATCGGATGCAAATCAGTCTCTGCTGTCCAGCTGGGACCAGAACCAGGGTGTTGCTCATCTGGGCAGCAGACATGAAAGCAAAGACCCGTCCTGATAGCTGCTTTTGCTGCTCCGAAGATGGGAGGTTGGAGCCACACCAGGAAGCTGGAACAGAGCTGCAGCTCCAGGCCTCTTTGAGGATGCACGAACGCCGCCCCGGTGAGGTACCTTTCTGTCAAAATCAGTAACAACTTCGTTTTTACAAACCTCTGCAACGTCTAGGAACAAAGCACTGAAGATTTTCTTTTAGCGCTAACAAGGATAGAGAGTTTCAGAAATAATCTAGGAAGCACTAAATTGTTCCTAATCCTTCCCAAGGTAAGGTGGAAGATTTAGGTGGTTTTGCTTCTTCTTTGACGGAAAAAAAGCAACATGGGAAAAATAATTCAGTTTAAACCCCCAAAGCTGTGCTCACTCCTTCATAAAAAACAGAAAACCAGGCCTCATCTCAAGCTATTTACAACCTTGGAAACAAAGACCATACAACACTCTTCTGTAAAAAACGAAGTTATGAAGAGAGAGTAACTGAGCACACAGCGACTGGAAATAACGCACAACATCTGGTTTTCTTTGCTGCCATCACTGGTCGTGTCTATCCACAGGACTTTCATGCCAGCACACTTGCTCGAGCACGAGGCTGCCCGCCCAGAGGCGAATGTGTTTACGGGACAGTTTGGTACGACACAGCCTGCCCAGGCCAGCAGCACCAGCAGGTGGAACGTTTCTTAAATCCCTTGGGACCGAGCCTCTGTGCTGTACAGTGCCAGCCAACAGCTGCGCCCCAGATTAAGATCCAGAGGCTAACTTTGTATTAGGAGAACTAATTTTCAGAGCGATAAATCCAGCAGTGGTGCATTAGCAAGCACCACTGGTAGGGGTACGCGGGTGATCTGGGAATTTCAGCAAGAGCTCTGCAGTGCTCCGAAATCCCAGCGGCATTCAAACAGCTCAGCAGAGCGCAGCATCACTCAAAAGTAATGTATGAATAGGTAAGAAACTGTTAGACCAAAACCACTGTGTGATTTTGCCTCTCTGGACCCGAGTCTGGTGTGCAAGTCCCACATATATGTACTCCCAATACGCTGAAAAAAAAAAAAAAACTTGTTGCATTGCCAGCGTTAAGAGGCTAGGAGGTCATTGCAGCTAGAGCCCTTCTGATCTCTACTCAACACCCAGCACAGGCTTCTTCAGAGACATCTACCATGCGATGCAAATGTGAGGCCTGTACATGCAAAGATGAAGCCTCTTTGCGTTGAGGAGATGGTGAGAACCCCTGTGGGTAAAGCACATTACTTAGAATTCAGACCGTAGAATTCTGGCATGGAATGTTAGCGTGGAGGAAAAAGGCACTAATTGTCCAAGCCTGATGCTCCCTCTAGGGGAAGCAAATACCCTGACACTCAAAAAGCAAGAATTTCCCTGCAGCTGTCCTCATTTGAAGACCCTCTTTCCAACAAAGGTGCAAGCTCTGGCGTAACACATTCAGGACTGTAGATACTGCGCTTTTCTCCACCACCCTTCGCAGACCCTCCAACCAGCCTGTGGGCCCAACTCTGAAAAACTTACTATAAGCAACTTATTTTAGTTGTATATGGACTACAGGGGGTCATGCATACAAGCTGGAGGCATGTGAAGACTGTGACTTTTGGGCTGTTTGTTTCCAAACGTGGCTTCTGCCTTTAGCTTTTCTCCCGTGAAAGCAAGAGGAAGGGCTTTGAACATACTTATGTCCTTGGAGCTCGATGGCTGTTCCTTTTCTCCCTCCAATATCCCACATTATAATGGAATGATCAGAACTGCCCGAGAATAACACTCGCTGTATTGGGTCCCAACAGAGAGCAGTGACACCACCTGAAACAGAAGCATACAACAGTCATTGCATTACAGAAAGGGGAAGACAGGAACGTAGCTAAATAAAAAGACACAACCAAAAATACGGAGAGTTATTAAAACGCAGGTCTCCAGCAAAGACCACGACAGCTTGCTAGCTGAAAACAGCCCAGAAAACCGACTGAAGCCCCATCCTGCTCTTCTGTGGGCAGAGAGCTCCACTGCCACTCACACGCAGGAACCCACTGAGCAGTAAAGCCTGGTAGAAGTATGGTCATGGTGTGACTACACAGCTTTCCATCTCCATCATTCCCAGGAGATTACAAAGGAGAAGCAAGTGCGGAATGTTATGGGCATCTTCACCGTATCCTGGCACAGGGATTGAACTACCTCGTGCTACCTCGTGGCTGAGCCGTCAGTGCTCAGTCAGAGAGGAGGGATGTGGAGAGAAAATGGTGAGGAATGACCACCATTGCTTCTGTTAGGTGGCAGGATCACATCCCAGGGTTGCTGTTTTTCAAGTGTGATGGGGCACAAGTCCCAGCAGTGAAACAAGCAGTGAGTGCCTCCAAGATGTGCCCATTCCACTTGGGCAAAAGTGTATACCACTGTGGGTCTTTCCTAGAGGAGCATCCTTCTCCCCTCCTGTCCCATCCCCTCCCCTCTCCCCCTCCCCCAAATTACCACAACTCGTTCTAGTCTCACTCTGCTTTAATTAGCAACTACTGGTCGTGACACTTTCTGCTACGGAAATTTTCTGATCAGAAGTCTGATTACTCTTGTTTTTACCAATAAATGATGAACTTCCCTGAGCTGCAGTGACAGTTTGAGGTTTATCCCCCTTCTGTGCTATAGACTGACACAGTCATCGTAGCGTTTCACAGGAGACTCAGGCCAGCATGACACTGAGCACAGATGAAGAACCAGATTGGGTCTCCTCCCGAGGCCTCACCTGTGTGTCCCTTAAATGTCGTAACAAGGCTGCAGGACTCTTGCTCCAGTTTGAGTATGGTCACTTGCCCGGAATGATCACCCACGAACACGTGCCGGGTTTCCACATCAAATCTGATAGATAAATGCTGAGGAAAAGACATTGTTTATACAAGCTTTGCATTCCTTCCGTGACTCGTTAATTCTTTTAACGTGAGTATACTGCAACCTCATGAATAGTGCTCCAATCTCAAGGAGGTTTTCAGAGCATACTTTTAGGCATCAGGCTCATACCTGTTCATATTAATAGTGCAGCCTCCCTGAGTAACTCAGAGAGAGAAAAAAGGAGACTATCCAGAGGACAAAATTTGTGCTTTTGTTACGAAACACCTTTGAAATTGCCCTTTGCCATGAACAGAGGAGTCATCTACCCAGGCTCTCTAACTGTGGTGCTACAGTTGGATGGTGTCCACTCTCTCTTTCCCTTCCCAAAATTGACTAAAATAACTATTACTGGTTTTCTGTTTGTATTGGGTTTGTGTGATGAGGTTTTGGTAGCAGAGGGGCTGAAGAGGTGGCTTCTGTGAGAAGCTGCTAGAAGCTCCCCCCACGTCCGACAGAGCCAATGCAGCTGGCTCCAAGACAACCCTGCCACTGGCCAAGGCCGAGCCCACCAGTGACAGTGGTAGCACCTCTGGGATAACGTATTTAAGAAGGGGGGATGAAAAACCTGTGCAACAGTAATTGCAGCCAGAGGAAGGAGGGAGAATAAGTGAGAGGAACAACCCTGCAGGCACCAGGGTCAGTGAAGGGGGGGAGGAGGTGAGCACCAGAGCAGAGATTCCCCTGCAGCCCGTGATGAAGACCACGGTGAGGCAGGCTGTGCCCCTGCAGCCCGTGGGGGTCAATGGTGGAGCAGGTACCCACCTGCAGCTCGTGGGGGTTAACGGTGGAGCAGGTACCCACCTGCAGCCCGTGGGGGTCAACGGTGGAGCGGGTACCCACCTACAGCCCGTGGAGGACCCCACACCAGTACAGGTGGATACACCCAAAGGAGGCTGTGACCCTGTGGGAAGCCCACGCTGGAGCAGGTTTGCTGGCAGGACTTGTGACCCCATGGGGGCCCCATGCTGGGGCAGTCTGTGCCTGAAGGGCTGCACCCCATGGGAGGGACCCACTCTGGAGCAGTTCATGAAAAGCTGCAGCCTGTGGGAAGGACTCAGGCTGGAGAAGTCCATGGAGGGCTGTCACCCGTGGGAGGGACCCCACGCTGGAGCAGGGGAAGAGTGTGAGGAGTCCTCCCCCTGAGGAGGAAGGAGCAGCAGAGATTACGTGTGATGAACTGACCACAACCCCATTCCCTGTCCCCCTGCGCTGCTCGGGGGGAGGAGGTGGAGAAATCGGGAGTGAAGTTAAGCCCGGGAAGAAGGAGGGGCAGGGGAAAGGGGGTTTAAGATTTTTTATTTTCTCATTACCCTACTCTGATTTGACTGACAATAAATTAATTTTCCCCAAGTTGAGTCTGTTTTGCCTGTGACAGTAATTGCTGAGTGATCTCTCCCTGTCCTTATCTCAACCCACGAGCCTTTTGCTCTATCTTCTCCCCCTGTCCAGCTGGGGAGGGGAGTGACAGAGCGGCCTTGGTGGGCACCTGGTGTCCAGCCAGGGTCAACCCACCATACTGCTTCTTCATTCTAATTAAGTTTACAAATACAATGAAAGGGTATTATGTCATATTTGGGGAAGTGTCAGCTACATTGGGTGCAACACACGTCATATTCTAAACTGAATAAAATCTGGACCCGTTCAACCACCTACTGGAACCACCTAACTGGACAGGTTCGGACCTCTTTATCCAATTCAGTCCCACATTTAGAGTCCATACTGGATATTTAAGGAGCAACTGTTTAGTACTGATCTTATGCACACAGGACATGGAGGGGATCAGGGGGGAGAGAGGGGGAAAAAAAAAAAAAACAAACCAAAACAAAAAAACTCCCACCACATTCCTGACTCTGCCAAGCTTTTTGCAATATTTGTCAATGATTCTCCCCCTCCCCTGCCCTCTACCAGCATGATCTGATGAACCAAATTAAAGTGTCCTCCAAATTTTGACTCACTCAAAATGATCTGTTTTCTAGTTTTCTAGAGAGATTTGGGAAATACAGGACAAATTCCCACATCGCACTTTCAAAAGTATTTATCAATCATTTAGTTTTTAATTAAGTTCAGTCGTTATGCCATTTAGATTGGCTGAATGACCAGATGTAATAAAGCAAGTCCATGTTCAAACAGTAATTTTGAATCAGTCTCACTTCCCATGAACTAGCAAAACATACATCATCAATACCACATACACTACAGGGCACTAAAAATTCCATTTATGCTAACCCCTGGTTTCAGCCTAAGAGCTCTTTTCCACTTCCCTTTTCATTTGCAATGAAGCTGAATTAATATTTCTTTTATTGTCAGGCAGCTGGGGCAGCTCTAGGTGAATAAGCAACTTGAGTGCCATTTCTGGAGCCACGTACTCTTTAGTTAACCCGAATTCCCAATACATAGTGGGCTGCTCCAGAGTGAAGGACAAGTGTTCATTATTTTATATTGAAGTAATGTAATTTTTACCATGCATATGCACAGGCCCGCTGACCTGATCACCGACCTACTTTGCTACCATTAGCACTTAGAAGAAAGCATGCGCTGCATGTTTAAATGAAGGCCCTGTCCATATTTATTACAATAGAAGACCACAATAGGCTGCAGATCACCCATTGTTTCGCTCACAAGTGCTTAGACCTAAATATGCCACCGCGCATTAAGGAGACAAAGCAAGGAGAACAGGCCGTTTTTTAAAACTGGCTTGAAATAACAGTTGCTCTCACAAAGCACTGAACCTACGCAGGGCGCAAAACTTGGAGGACAACTAGGGAAAGAAACTAAAAGGGGCTGTCTGAGTGCCAAAGAGCAGAAACAAAACTGAGACCTCAGCAAAGGATACTGCAGGCCACAGGCGCCTGCGCTGGTGCGGTACCCTCCCAGCCGCTGGCCGCTCTCCGAACAGTGCCACGTGAAGTTTTTGTCTTGCCCGGTGCTTAACACCCACTCCATCTCCAGGACAAACAGAATCATCATGACCCTGCTTTGATGAGCTGAAAATTAAGCAGACAGACATATAATCGCATTGCGGAGGAGAAGACGGGGGCAGAAGGACCACTGCAAATACCAACTGCGCCCAACTCCTCCACTTCCTACTCACACCCTCCTCCTTCCCTACAGAAGCAGATGGTGTTTAATAGTCCCGTGGACACAAGCTACCACACAAGCTTGTAAGGCCCCTGCTCTGCACGAGGAAGAACAGAAGCAAGACTTCATTCCTTCCCTGCCTACTGCAATCATTTATTTCTACAGTAGCACAAGTCTTCCTTCCCTCATTGTATCATCACCAACAAAGCTGCTGCTGTGGGAAGGGGACTCCAGGCTCTACTACTCAGACCTCTTTCGAGCTGGTTTTATGACAGCAGTGCAGATGCCTACGCTGCCACTCCCCCCGCTGCGAGGGCTGGTGGATCTGGGCTGCGGATTGTGGTCCCCCAACAGAACGATGAGTTACAGCATAGGCACAACCCTGCACCAAAGGGAAGTCTTAGCATTGCATGTCAACCAGCTAAAAAGGAAATTGGAATAAAATTAAAAAAAAAAAAAAAAGGGAAAAATAAAAAGATCACAGCTGGGCAAGATGAATAAAACAGCTGAAGGAATAAATTTCTACTGCTACCTAAATAAAGCCATCAAAAGCTTTTCATTAAAACAAGGGAACCCAGGCTTGTACAGACGGGTTTTTGTATGAATGACCAGTGGGCTTGGTCATGAAGTGCTGATTGAGCCAACTTTTTAATAAAAAAAGTGGCTGGAAAGACATGCGGAATTATTCCCAGCTGTAATTTGCCAGCAAATGCCATACTCTTCAATCCACAGCCCTACTGGTTTATTACTGTTCTGAGAACTGGCAACATGTGCCGCACAAAGCAGGCTGCTTGTATTTGTTTGGATAAAAGCTGACACGCTGGAAAGATTAAATATATTTGGAAGCTTAAAAACCAGCCCGAAACCTCTGTTTGAAAGGCTGAGAAATTCCTCAGAACAGTCTGGGAAGATTGCTGCCTGCCCTATACAAATATACATCACAGATGAGAGCTGTGCTCCAACCCTACGAGGGGGAACTAGTTGTAGCAAGGAACAGGAGGCTTGCACAAGCCAACACCTGCCCCTCATCCACACTACTTTTTAGACCCAGGTTCCCCGAGGAGGAAAGTCAATAGATGCATTGACACAAGTTGCCGTAACTGCGATTGGCAGCTAGACTGGTTTACAGTGTCAGACATGAACCGTGCCCAGATGCTTTCACCCTTGCCCACAGAAGAGATCAGATTTTGGCTCTCATTTCCACATATTTTTAAACTTCAGGTCTCTCATCAAGACAGAAGGATGGGGACCACCCAGGAGTCACTTGAGCTCTTTTCAATAGATCCTCTCTCCAGATTTCTCTGGGAAGAAATTCAGTGACCCCATGGTTGACCAATGCTTGTCTTAGCTGTTGGTCTCCCCTGAAGCACCTGCACTAGCTCTTGTTTTATGTGCTGCACGGAGGGCCACGATGGGACGCACAGGGCTACAAGCACCTGATGGGCTCGTACACATGTCCCAGGGGCTTGTGTCCACCAGCAGTGTCGCAGACAGACCCACACACTTCCCCAGGACGTGCAAAGCTGGTGGAGAGCGGGCCGGTCAAAGCCTGGCGGAGATCGGGCTGCTCAAGGCCTGGCGGAGGTCGGGCCGCTCAAGGCCTGGCGGAGAGCGGGCCGCCCAGGGCCTGGCGGAGAGCGGGCCGCCCAGGGCCTGGCGGAGAGCGGGCCGCTCAAGGCCTGGCGGAGAGCGGGCCGGTCAGGGCCTGGCGGAGAGCGGGCCGCCCAGGGCCTGGCGGAGAGCGGGCCGCCCAGGGCCTGGCGGAGAGCGGGCCGGTCAGGGCCTGGCGGAGAGCGGGCCGCCCAAGGCCTGGCGGAGAGGCCTGGCGGAGAGCGGGCCGCTCAAGGCCTGCCCAGGGACGTTTACTCAACTGCTAGTGTCGGCTTCTCATGGTTTGGACTGGCCGTGGGGATAGCTGGCACTGTGCAACTCTTCTACACCTCCCAAAACCTCTTCTAAAAGGCAGGGCTTGTACCTTTTGCTCGAAGTACTGCATGTGGATGGTGGGGCAGCTCTCTGGCAAAGAGGAGTAGACATTACAGAAATGTGTACATGCCAAGGGTGTACATGATAGCTTTGCTTATCCTTTGTCCCCAAAAAGAGCTTTCAATTCAGCACTCTGTTGTCCACCTGTGAGTGCTGCACATATTAACTGGTGCCACCGCACACATGCTAAGGGCAGAAATATCTGAACCAAGTGAAAGAGCACACTGGGGGTCATCTAAGTAAGGAAGGAAAGAGAGGATAAATGCAAGTAGAAGATCACTTGTCATTTCGAGAGAGTTTGACCCATGTAAGGCTTAAAGAAGCAATATGTTGGAAGGTTGGAAGTTGATAGTGGAGCAAGGAAGAAGTCTGGGTCCTAAGATTAACACAGGAAGCAGCAAACAAAAAGCTGGTCCTTCATCCACGGAAAGTTTGACCACCATTTGTGTGCAGAAAAAAAAAAAAAAAAAAAAGTGAAGCAAACGCTTCCAAAGCTGCTCCCTGCAACAGCAGGAAGGAGAAGGGGGGATGGAGGGTGGATGTGGTCACGGTACAGAAAAAGCCACAGCAAGCACCAGGCAAAAGCAGATCTGTGTAAGCCAACATGAGAAGAGACCCCAAGTGCGGGGGAAGATTATGTCATACAGAAGGTAGAGAAGCAGCAGCCAGGAGAAGGAAGCAGGTCCATCTTCAGCTGGAGGGTGGGAGGGAGCAGGGAGAGCTGCATGAGAAAGCAGCAGCGAGCACTGTGCAAAGAGCAGGTTGGAGGGAGGATGGAAGGGCTGTGCCTAGAGAAAAGCAGCTGCAGCCAAGAGGTGCACGCCGAGATGTCAGCAGCCAGAATGCAGGGGAAAGGAGGGTCTGTGCTGTGTGTAACGGCAAAGTTTCAAGAAACAAAGCCAGAGAATGGCCACGCACAGCGCAGGGCAAGAAGCTGTGCTGGGAGAAAGGGAGAGTTACAACAGTGAAAAGCAGCAGCAAATACCGAGAGAGGTAGAAGTTAGTAGTAAGAAAGAAAAACTTAACATGTGCAAGAAAAAGCGCAAGAGAAAAGGTCACGCATAATGAAGAAGCAGAGTAAGGGCATGGCATGAGCTGGCCTGAAAGCAGGGAGACAGAGGGGCACCCCCAAAATGAGCAGGCTGCAGAAAGCATGGGGCAGAAGCAGGTCTATGAATCCTGCTCAGCAAAACAAGCACACGTTAAATAGACTAAAAAAAAAAAAAAAAAAATATATATATATATATATATATATATGTATAAAAGCAGGAGCTGTTGTATCACCCAGAGCTGGCCTGGCCTGGAAATGTGGCTCCTGGCAAGAAGGTGCAGATGCAAGGAGCAGGGTGGAGAAGGCTGTGCAGAGCGGGAAGCAGCAATGACCATGTGGCAGGACTGGCCTGTGTGGGGCTGGCAGCAGCTGGAAGCTGAGGCTGCGGAGGGGAGGCAAGGGTTTCTTCAACACCCATAGTCTTATGCAAACGTGAAAGGAGCTGCCCAGGGAAAGAGAAGGTCGCTGTGAGCGGAGGTGGTCCCTGCCTGCAGCTGGTGCTGTGGCTGAAGAAGGAGGGACAGCAATAGTTAGGAAAGACTGAAACAGAATGAAAAGTTTTAATTTCCCAGAGCAACCCAAAAGGCACCGTTCAAAGGCCTGCATGACCCCTTCATGCAAGGGAAGGGGTTAGTGCCTGCAGGAAGCCAATGTCCCAGGACCCACCCCAGAGTTCTGAGAAACACTACCACATCCCCAATCTCTGTGTTTTGATCCCTTTCAAGAAACAGCAGGCTTTGCAACTTCAGACACGTTGGAGCAAAACCTCCAGAGAGCACAGCCAGTCCGGCGGTACGCCGACGGACCTGGCCGCAGACCCCTGCCAAGACCAAAGCGCAGCCTACGCGTGTGCTGTCATTCTCCGCCACTAGCAGATCATTTGGCAAACATATGCATGGCCTTTCCAGACACAATCAATGTTCCTTTATCACTACAGCAGCTTCAGCTACTTACAATAACACCTTGTTGCGGGAGACGATCAGTAACCCACCAGTTGCTGGGTAAGCTGCTGCTTTGAAGAGCACTGCTGAACATTTACAAACAAAGCTAGCACACACAAAACCAGCCAGCACAGCTAAACTAAAGCCCCTTGGTCAGCTTAATACAGTTATTTACTCTGCCTGAAATATTTTTAAAGAATATAAAGGCTTTACTTGAAAACTTTAAACAAAACCAACACTTTTCAGAAGTAAGGTTTTTAACAAATGAACCACTAGAAGGTCACCACATCTAACAAAACGACAGGCTCCTTCATAATTATGTTTTCCCTGTCGCAGGGCCTTGCCAGGATGCGTATGCCAACCCCTACACCTTGGTACAACCGTGTGAAATTATCTCCAACATTACCTGAGGCCAAACCAAACTCTCGCCCACGTGGCTGGCAATGGGTAGGTAGTAAGCAGAACACCAGACATGATGCTTCTTTAACCCTTGCACAGAGGGGATTACTATACCCACACACACACACGAATTTGGGGGATCCCAGCAGCCTGGGATCACCACACTTTCCTTTCACACTCAAAACTAGGTCACAGGAATGCTGCCACCATTTTTTAAATTAGGGGAATACAGTTTTCATCAGATTAAACAAAGAAAAGACCAAACATCAGCCTCTGGAAGTGAGGGAGGAAAATGGAGCAGGGGGTCCATGCCCCTGAGGGACACGGCAGCAGTCGGTGTCGCGCAGACCGACTGAAGTGCCCCAAGGCAGACACCATCCGCTGCCAGTGATCGTCCTTTGAGCCAGAACAGAAATTATACCTAACCTGGGCGCAAGTATTGCTTCTCTTGCCCTAAAATAAGTCCACAGCTTCCAGATAAAATCCTCCAACACACTGCCTGAGAGTCCTGGCACAAAATGATCAGAATTGATCAAAAACCTTCCCGTGCTGAGACAGGTAGTCTAGGAAGGAAGCAACTCCGTTTGGGACTGTGGTCAGTTGTACTGCCTCTCTACTGATGTTCACGGACCCTCGCTGGAGTCCTCTCTTGTCCAACATCTGGGGGATGCCATCTGAACTCTTGGGGTTCTCCCACAGGACAACCCATGGAAGTTCTTCACTGTATCTTCCTATGCAAAGGGCTCTTCCAACACTCTGCAGCAGCAGCACATCTGGCACACTGCAGCAGAAGGCCACAAGAACAGCCTTCATTTTCCTTCTTTCTTCCCCCCCCTCTTTTTTTTTTTTTTTTTTTCATTTTATGAGGGGTGCTCCCCAGGCCTTGGATGGGCTGACACAGTCCAACTGGCTATTCTGCCATACTGACAAGATAGACGTTCCCCTCTTCCAAATTTTTCAGCCTTTTCCCTGAAGACCTTGGCAAGAAAGATGCTCATACGTATGTTGTTCTGCATACGCAGAAGAAAAGACTTCAGCTCACACTTCATAGGATGTGATTAGCCTGCGAGATTGAATCCAAGCATGCAAATGGATGAGCTAATAATAAAAGGCGTTACAGATCAGTCAGTAGGACTCTTCAGTGTAACAACCCTTAAATATGAAACATAGGTCTGTCAAACTTCAGTGATTGTGGAGGAATCACAAATTTGGATACTAAAGACTCGTACAGTTAGGCTGCAGAAATCTTGTTGAAGATTCACATATATATTTTATCATCGTTAGATATTTTTCTTCAGTTTTTACAAACTAAGAAAAAATGCAGTCATTGCAAGCTTAATTTTACAACACATTGGGCATTCATGAAAGACCTGAAGTAAAACACTCAAAAGCCAATATGTTAGCCATGCTCGTCAAAAGTCAAGATTCTCTTCATACCTTAAAATCTAAATGTTACAAAGTGATTCCCCAGAGCCTCCATTTAGAGACTGAAATTATCCTCTCAATATTTCAAAGTATAAAACTCAAAATGAGTAAATACATATTTTAAAATGTGAGAAATCTCAAGCTAACATGTCAGAGATGTCTATACAGAAACGTAATACTTGGCATATAATATGTTATGATACCACATATCATACCACCTCTTAGTCTGACAGCAAAAGAAACGTAAGAATAAATTCTTGCGTGTATTTGTTACTTTTATAAGAATACCTGTCCCAAGTGGAGTGTCCTTTAGAGGTTTGACAGGGATAAAGAGGTTTATTAAAGCATCACATTAGTAAATACTAGAATATAACTAGTAAAGGTATGGATTAGCATTTCTTGACTTTTTACTATGACAGGTATTCACCGATAATCTTGAGATTACTAGAGCCAACAGTTATTGAAATATAACCAGACTAACCCCTGAAACTATAGTCGTAAATGCCTCAGACCTCAAGAGGGTTTAGTTTCCTAAATTGTTTCATTAGATACACTGGATTACTAAAGAGTCAAAATTAATACTTGTCTTCCCCAAACATTGTCTGGATTTTGGACGGTTTGCCATCTAGTGATATTCTAAAGGAACATTTAAAAGGAAAAACAGAACATGAAACAGCTCTTTAAAAGTCTTGTAATCTCAGAACAAAGCACATTATTGACCTATTGATAAAACCAGCATTTACATTAGTATAAAAAAAAAATCCATCACTGTAACGGAAACTTCTCTCCATTCACCCTCTTTAAGAGAACATTAACAACAATTAATGACAATACAGACCAGTTAACACGGATCGTGGTTCTTACCCTGGTAACTTTTCACTAGTGTCATCTTGTTGTAATCTTCTGACAAAATGAATTCCTGAAAGAAGGGAAAGAAAAAAGGGAAGAAACAGTGCTTAGAGATGTAAAGTGTTTAAAGAGTGTTTTCATTTGAATTCATTACCAAGGTAAGCTCTCCCTTTTTTGCACCCACGGCCCTGTCTATACTTTTTCTAATTTTGAGTACCGCCATCTAAAAAACTAAGTTATTTCACCTTTTAAAGTTGCCTAAGAAACTACAGCAAGAGTGCTTCTGAACAGAATGGTGGAGATAAAAGGGCTATTATAAAAAGAAGTCATAAAAGCTGACAGAAGTGTCTGGCTGTGATCAGAGGTACGACAAAATGAGACCTGAGATCCCATATGCAGCAAACACTGCTCACAACTGTCTGGGCAGAAACCCGTATGTGCACAACAGTGATGTGTGCGCACACGTGGATGTATTTATACACCACACCCCAAATTGAACACTCGGGAAACAATATAAATATGTAAGAGCCCCTTGAAGTTGCTCAGTCCAAACTAAAGCCCAATAATCCACGATGGGAGTACACGTCAGGTTTCTGTTCAAAAGCCCCTCAGTGTTTCAGACAAACAAAACCCCAAACCTTATTCCCCCTTGATTTTATCCTGCTACTGGCTGATATTTATTCTGGTGTCTCAGCAGCAGGATTTCTTGCTTCGCTACTGCTTTGTTGTGACTAACTAGCAGTCGATGGTGGGATGGAGGGTGGCTTAGCACAGGCTGCGGCTGCCCGGGGAGAGATTCGGGGTGTGACCCAGCCGGGCTCCCTCCTGTGCCCAGGGACCAGCACACTTAGGGGGCCTGGCTCTGCAGTCCCGCTGCCTCGGTGCTGCTGTTGAACTGCCAATACGGCTTTGGCACGAGGAGGTGATGAAAACAGGGAGCCAAGAGCCTGCACAGCAGCCTCGGCTCCTGGAAAATCCCCGTGCGGTTAAACTGACTGAGCACCTGGCTGTCCCTGCCCGCTGGTTTTGAAAAGCGGGGTTGCTCAAAGCTGGGGAAACTGAGTGGCCACAACAAAACCCCTGCAACAACTCTCTAGAGGAAACACCCGGGCAGAGTAGGCTTCTGTGGCAGCACCGCGTGAAGAAAGCCAACCATACCCTGGGCTGCATGGAGAAGTGTGGCCAGCAGGTCGAGGGAGGGGATTCTCCTCAGTACTGTGCCCACCTCCGGGGCCCCAAACGTAACAAGCACATGGACCTGTTGAACCGAGTCCACAGGAGGGTCATGAAGATGAACACAGGACCGGAGCAGCTCCCCTGGGGGGCCGGGCTGAGAGAGTTGGGGGGGGTCAGCCTGGAGAAGAGAAGGCTCCGGGGAGACCTTATAGCAGCCTTCCAGTACCTAAAGGGGGTCTGCAAGAAAGCTGGAGGGGGACTTTTTACAAGGGCATGTAGCGATAAGACAAGGGGTAACAACTTTAAACTTTTAAATTTAGATGAGATATAAGGCAGAAATCCTTCCCTGGGCAGGGGGTGAGGTGCTGGCCCAGGGTGCCCAGAGCAGCTGTGGGTGCCCCCTCCCTGGAAGGGTTCAAGGCCAGGTTGGACGGGGCTGGGAGCCCCCTGGGCTGGGGGAAGGGGGCCCTGCCCGGGGCAGGGGGGCTGGGACTGGGTGATCTTTAAATTCCCTTCCAACCCAAACTGTTCTATGATCCTGTGAAATGCCAAGGAAACTTAGTGTCATAGACAACGTTGGCAAACTACCAAAAGGGTATTGGCAGCGTAAGAACAGACTCAAAGTAGATCACAGAGTTGATGTCTTTCGAGAGAATTAGCTTTCAAACTGCTGTCAGGTACCTACATGCGTATGCAATGTACTCAGAGAAACACAAAGAGAAACCACGGAGTGTAAAACCACATCATATTAATAATTTACAGCAAACTACATGAATTCCCTGAGCTTATCTACCTAGGGGACAGAAGTGAAACCTAACTCATGTAATCTGAAATAGGGTGGGGGAAAAAAAAAAAAAAAAAGAAATATTACAGACACAAGATAAGCTAAATTTTAAAGCATACATTTGTGAAATGTTCATGTATAAGAATTGCCAAAAGCATTCTGCAACAGTAGGGAAGACTGGACTTCAGGAGTCTACATACTGTACTGAAGGCAAACCAAACATTTAGCGCAAAAGAGAATGAGAGGACATTCTAACTACCAAAAAGCCAGTATTTACCCACAGTTTCCAAAATGGAATTAAAAGATAAGTCACTCTACATTTTCTGTGGGGTCACTGTAGGTAATCTGCATGGCTTTCCAGAGCCAGGATTACCCTAACACATCATATCTACTGCTTGGCACCAAGGTGGAGAGGCTACAACTGGGCAACACCTGTAGATCCCAACTTCCAGAAAAACAGCTGTGAGTGATTTGAGGCAGCTTTGTGTTTTGCTGCTTCCAGGTTTCTGTTCATCAGTTAGTTATAAATATGTTCTCTTGAATTGCTCTACTTCATCTTCCTTTCCTTAATCTGCTTCCACCTCCCATTAGCTTTCCCCAGCATATGAGGATTACAGTGGGGAGTGTTATTTAAACAGCAGTAACAAATCAATTAAGTCAGCTGGGTATCTGTACCAGGGTCACCTTAACTCTACAAATCCCAGAACATTAAAAATCTGCTATACCTCCCTGGCTCCTTACAGGGGAAGTGGTTTTCATTAACCATTTCCTGAAGAATACTAAACCACCACATGAAACGCTTTACTACAAAGCCTGCTTGAAGCAAGACCCTTTGCTGTGAATGTTAACTTTCTGCTGTCGCTACCTAAAGAGAAACGGCTTCAATTGCTACAACACATGGTAGGAAAATACGTCTGCCTTTCCCACCAATTTGGCTGTCCCCAACTTTGACTGTGGTGGCACACAGACGCTGGTGACTTCAGGTGGGATGAAGGGCATGGTTTGCATTCTCATTTTTTGTCTCGATCAATTTGATGTGGCCATTCTGTTTTGTGATCTGAACAGCCCCACACTTTCAGTGGAAGGCCGAAAAGGCTTTTGAGTCTGTCCATATATACAGTGAATGAAACACAACTGCAGTTTGTAAGGTTTACCCAAGTATTGATTAGCTCTGTAGGCTTTAATACAAACCACAGCTATGTACTACTAATACACCACTCCATCCAAAGAGATAAACAAATACAAGATAAATACAGTTCCAATTAACCTGAATAATTTTTTTTTTCCTCTTTCTCCTCCCCCCCCCAAAAAAAAAAAGATTTCTTGCTTCTCATTTTCTTCTTTGAAACTTTTGATGCATTTGAAATTTCTGATGCATTTTCTTGGTTTGCATTTTCTAATCTTTCTCCAGGTCTTTTACTCCCTGCTCCCCTTTACACTACCCTTTACATGTGTTCTTCTATTGCACTCATTCCTCTCTCCCTCTCAAGGCCAAATGCATTAGTTGCGTCAATAGACAGGTATTTTAGCACAGGGCACCTTGCTCAAGAAATTCATGCCCTACTGCACATACATTGTGTCATTTGCACTACAAAAACACTGACTACATCTCTTTAACATTGTAACAGCAGAAACGGGCTTTTTATCCCTCCATATGTAGATGTTTTGCTTCTCTCAGAGCTGCTGATGCTTAGTTCTCGTTAGGCAGCTTTTTGGCTCTTCTTAATGAGCTAGAAATGCTGGGGTCACCCACAGCTCAGTCAGTGCTCGTTAACAGGACAGAGAAAGATTTCTGAGTCCTGTGTGAGCCCTTTTGCACAGGAGGGGCTGGGGTATATCAGAGCACTCAGGATGGCAAAACCAAACCCCCTCCTTGCAGGGATTAAAACATTTCTTCTTGCAAGATCGCTCTTTGCTCTTCAGAGCTTTTTGGGGGGGGCTACTTTAGTACCTTGTTTACCATACCAAAAATGTTAGTGATCAGTCTTGGCTGTTTCAGTAAGCTTATTATTACAATAGTGACTTGGTACCATGAAAGCCTTCTCAAAGCAGAAAGGAGAATTCCTGAGCATCTGAAAAGACAGTCCAATCCAGTGCCCGCTGTTGTACAAAGACTCTCAACTATACCTTCACGGAGAACACCTCCTTCACACTGAAACATATATACCCACCAGAAACTTCTCTAGAGCCTCAAACCTCTGTGAATCCTCACCCTTGAAAATATTATCAGCATCCTGTTTCAAATGACTCTTGTTAAGGCAAACAAAACTCTTACTCAGGTGTGTGCCATTTCAGAGCCCTTGGCCGCAGGGCTGGCTGACGTGGCCCAGGGTCCAAGGAAGACTCATGCCTTTCCAGAGCTGCAGGTGGATGCCGACTGATGTATCCCAAAGTAGCACGAGACCTCTGCTTAGGCAACTCATTCAACTTCTGAGCGTTAATAATCTTTATATATTAGCTATGTGTAACCCATTCACAGCCTCGTTCCCAGTCTGTACTCTGACGGAAGATATGCCATTTTGACAGCACAAGGTGACTCCCCTTAAAGGCTTGACTTCATCCTGTTAGCCAGCGATGGACAGTACTCTCACATCTTCCAGAGAACAACAAAGCTGCCTCAGAAACAGAAGAGAATAAAGACTCTTACATCTACTGTCAGACCCTATCTGGATGTCTGTTGCAAAGCTCTATAAAACGATCACAGTGTTTTCACTTTATAAAGTACGGCTGGGAGATAGCAGGAACTATCATCTAGTTTTCTTGAAGGAAAAAATAGTAAACTTCCCACAGTGGCAGAAAGGAAAGGGAGACATCAGCAGGTCGAGCCTGACTCAGGCTCCGGTATTCAAAGTGCTGTTTATGGCCAAACTTGTAGAAACCTGCAAGATCAGATGACGTGGAAGATGAATTTATCTGAACAAGTACCATCCCCAAAGTAGAATTCTGAAGGGGTTATTCTGGTCCCCTGTTGTCCTCGTGGCCCTGCTTGAAGTATGTACCAGCCTCATCTGGACACAAGCATGGTCAGCAAAAAAAAATCCATTTCATTCAGCTTCAGCTACCTAAAAACTAAATCCCTCGTTTAAATCTCCCCAGAAATGGGGACAGAGATTTATGCCATTCTAAAACAGTTTCTAGGGTAAGTAACATGGGTGTCTCCAAAGGCAATTTACCTCTCCTCTACTGGCTGCAGAACCTAATGGTGAATTTTGTCTAGGAAGCTAACTTTTAGATGGATGAAGAAATTCAGTAAGGAGTCTCATCTTGCTGTGAAAGTCTCCTGTCTATTGCAAATCATAGACTTTTCCTCTGTTTCTTTTTGTTGTGGCATCTTGAGAGACTTGCACTCATTAAAGTATGTTTTTCTCCACTTCAGAGCCAAGGAATTTATGACCACGATAAAGTCTTTTGACTTCCAAAAGGGATCTCAGGCAGTCCCTAAGACAAAGTAACAGAAATACCACTTCTTTTCAAAAAAGGTTTGCAAAGATTTAAAAAAAGTAATTTTTTTTTTTTTAATTTCCCCACACACACACACTTTTTTTTCACTTTAGGTACTTCAAGCAAGATGCTAAATAATATTTTGCTCAAGAGAATGGTCTACTGTGCTGCACAAATGTTTTTACAGCCTTCATGTCGGGAAGTTACAAAAGGCTGAAAGCAATCTCTTCATCTCTGTAGAAGCAAAAATTGTCGCCCTGTTTCACAAGGAAAGGTGGCCATACAAGCTCACCTCCTGGGGGCTTTGCTAGAACATCTTCTCTGTGACAGTAGCATTGTTGCCCATCCTTCTCAAAATGCACCATACACATTTCTGAGGCTTATAACCAAAACCCATACAGTTTACAAACATTTCATGTAAAAATAAAAAAAGGCAGTTCTACTTTCTCATCCCCATTTACATCAGGAAGTAACAGCAGTACTTCCCTGCACTGCAAAAAGATTAGTTTGAAATGATGAGGCACTCTCATGAGCATTATATCAGTTTACAGCTCTTGCCAGGAGTCCTTTTCCTCTACACAGTCAAAGTAAAGATACAAAATGATTTTAAGCATTTTTTTTTTGGTCCTGCACCCAGCGTACACAAGGGTGCTGGGTGTTACCAAAAGTGCTAACACGGAATAGCTGATGATTTTCCAAATATTTCAAGCTGTTCAAGTACGTTGCCTGTACTTTCCCTGTGAGTGCCACGCAATTAAGGGCACTAAGATCACCTGGTTGCAGTTAAGTTCTTGTTATTTTGTGGTCAGTGTGCCCTGCCTGTATAGTCCTGTGCTAAATTGAGCATCATGGCTGTGCCCAGGAAGCAAAATTTATCCTTTCCTCCAGAGGGTGGCTGTAACCCACTTTCAAGTACCTGGAGATTTTCTCTAACACTCCAGTATTGTTGGGACTTACAATATGGGGTTAGCCTTGCTCTTCTTCTATTCCCACGTCCACCACTTCTTGTAGCACGTTACAGTTGTAGCTTCTCTTACAAGCCTTAGGTTTGCTACAGAGGGAAACATTTCATCACCTGTGGAAGTTTGTGGAGGGAGTTTTCGGCACAGTCCTCTACCACACAACTGCCTGCAGCTACAGGGGGCTAAATCAAGCAACACAGACAAGCCCTTCCCTCCTCCTATGGACTTGTATCCAGAAGACTGGGAAAAGCAAACCCCTTCTTAGCAACAAACAGAATCTGCCTGAGACATGGCAGATCTGTACCTGCAAGTACCTGAAGTCACATGCTGGTTTATCACCTGCATATCACATTTACCTGCTTTAGCTTCAGAATGGAAAATATTTGACTCTATTCAGACTCAAGCACCTTCTGACTCTTCGAGGCAAAATGCCCCGAAGACAAAAGACACATCACTTCCATCATGCCAGGGTATTTAAATGACTTATTTACAGTCCCCTTCACATTCCTCAAAGGCCTGGTGGAAACAAAAGTGCCTAGTAGGACTGGCAAATTACAGCTATTTCAGAGAGTGGGAAGGAGGGAATTTCAGAGGTGCAGGGAATTCTCTGGCAGCTGTCCCATCTCCTAGATACAAAAGCAGAAATCTCCTACAGGCCCCAAAAAATAAAAAAAAAAAAATCTCTGCTACTAGCCCTTAATAGCTGTATAGGTCAAAACCTTCACATCTTTGATACAGCTAACAGGCAACAGCTAAAAGGGTCACACACCCTTTCTCAAATACCATCTTGGCTTTAGGGCAGACAACTGCCCTTAAGTCAATCTGCAAACATTCAGCTATAAAATCCACGAAGCTGAGACAACAGCAGTAAAAATCTGGAACGATGGCAAAATGATCTTAAACTGGAAGAGGAGTCTATTGATGAGGCATAGGTGAAAAACACCTCTCTGACCCATGACTGTTCCACAGTGATACACCTCTTTACTCATCATTCCACAAGAAAATCCCAAGGAATTAAGGTCAACTGCTACCTTCTGTCCCAGATCTGAAAGACAGACTCTTGTTTTAATACCCTGTTGGCTTTTTACACACACATATCTCCGATGTTAATGAACCAAATCTTTCAGCAAGAGCACTGCCAGTTAGGAGCAACTTCTCTGAAGGAAGCAAGATGTAAACAAAATCTGAACCCTGAAGTTTGGAAAAGCAGCTAGGTACGGAGCAGAAATCCACCTTCTGCCTCTCAGAAAATGATTTGTCCCCCCTTAATTGCTGCTTTCAGAAAACTTTGGTATGGTATGATTAACAAGGCACTCAAATTTAATAAAACAACAGCTGGTTTTCTGCATTGTTATTTTTTAAGATATATGCGAATTAAGACAGTTTGTTGAGTTGCCTAATAAATATTGGAAACCCCACTCAATCTTTTTGTGGCAGTTGATATGAAATTTGTTATAATCCGCCATTTTCTACACTACAGCTTCAGTTCCACCAGCAGTAACAAACTAGCAAAATATCCTAGCAAAAATATCCTCGCCACAACATCACACATATACTTCTCAAAAGGGAAGCATTTCAACTAGAAATCTTTGGATGTACTTACTGAGATTGTACCATTGTCTAGACCTATGGACAGCCTTCTGGTTTCCGGGTTAAAAGACATGCATGAACATGGAGCTGAAAAAAATGAACATGTTGATGAAGTTAACAAAACTGTGATTCTCATTTTCTTGAAGTTCTGGAAAGCCTAAAACTAGCTAACATGCTTTATGCTGCTGTTCAGCATTTTGCCCCTTCCAATAGACAAGTGTTTAAAAAAAAAAAAAGAAAATAGTGTTCTTGCAATTCATTCAACCCTATCCTATTACGACATGGAACAGTGGCTATTTCTTGCTCCTTCATTTTTTCTTACTAGTTATCTGAAAACAGGCATGTCACACAAGAGCAGTGGTGGTGCTTTGATATAAGAGTCACCTGACATTTCAGTCTGAATCTGAGAGATTACTTATCTGAATAATTGAGGTTTTTACATTTGCCTGAACTATAATGACAATAAAATGAAATACTGTATTATGTCGGAGGCTTGCATCCTATACCTGCAGTAAGAAAGGTAACCTGTATGAATCACCATATCAGTCAATATTAAAGACTCTGGGTCCAATTGTCCCCTACTCCAGTTTCACCACAGACAACGCTATGACAGTATCACATACTATGCCCAAAATGAAAGACTATCAAAAACTAGCCATTGTTTTATTATATCAATATTACTCTAATAAACATCAGGATGTACTCTTAAATTGCACACAAGTCGGTCACACTATGGTCCCTCAAGGATCTGGAGGGGATCACATCAAGGGTAAAACCACAATTTTCTTGCAAGAATTCAAGAACCACACTTGGTTCAACTGAGAAATTGTGAGGTTGTATTCAGAAGTCTGGTACTGTTTTTACCGTTCCACACAGCAGCTTGTAGCTGGGACAAAACCTTCAGGAATTATTTTTCAGCAGCAATTACCAACTGCATCTAGATGCAGGCATTCTTGCTCCTTCGATAGTGATGAGTGGTTTTTTAAACCATATTCCTGTGATAAATATAGAGTACAGTCCGATGTGCTTTTAGTTCTGCTTTTTCCCCCCCCCCTCTCGGTTTCTACTCTTCATTGTGATTACTGACTGTTTTGGTTACTAACAAGCTTGGAGTCTTCTCTTTTGCAGTACTGTATATCTGGCATATTCTCAATTTGTGTAATGTCTCACCTAGGACTAAACAGTCCATAGCTCAGCAAACTATCCTTGATAGTTTAGCTGCCAGCAACGCTATAAAGAAGAGGAGAGTCTGTGCTGACTGTTTAACAAAACTTGTTCTCCCTGCAGTATTGACTAACCCCTTGAAACACTTCCTAAAGGACAACCAACCACAAGCAGAAAGCCTACCAGATCCACATCCAGGCAGGCACCTTGATTTATTTCTTTCCTGGAAGGGTTGACTGAATTAAATCAAAGAAAATACTTCAGTTCAAGGAAACTGCCAGAAAGGAAATACAAATTAAGTCTACTAACAGTGACAAAATTGTTCCTTCCCATACCTCTCCCTCAGAACAGGCAAACTTGGATCATCTCTTCGGATGGTGGTGTACTACTACTGTATTGAGGCTTCTAGGATTGTAGGAGAGCAAGGCAGTTGTTGGAAAAAATGGACAGGAGAAAAAAAAAAAAAAAAGGCACTTCTAAGCAGAATAAACATAAAATCCTTTTAAAAGTACTAACATAAAATCCTTTTAAAAGTACTTAATGCCAGAACAGGCATATTCTACATATCAGCTTTCAAACACTGTGCATACATTGAAAGAGCTATTAGTAACTCTGAAGGCAATAAACAGCTCGCAGAGGAAGTCTCAGGTAAATTAGCTATTTGAAGTCTGTTTTCCCAAATAGCCTGAAACACTTCATACACAAAAGGTGCAAGCAACTGCTTGACACTGACTGATGACAAAAAAAAAAGTCACTTCTAAATTCCAGACCTGTGTGTACACAGTCCTAGCAGTATATTTATTTTGCTATAATCATTTTCCTAAGGGGATTCTTCAGTAACACTTGCTCTTGGAAAAATCATTATGTCAGCACTAAAATTACATCCACACTAGTTACACTAATGTAGTTAAATTGATGCCAGTAGTAACATGACTGCAGCAGCTTACGCTTTAGTGAAAATAAGATGACATTCAGATACTTAAGCACTTAGGCTCATTAAGAAGTGGGGAAGACAAAAAAAAAAAAAAACAAACCCCAAACAAAACAAAACCCTCATCCAAACCCTAAGATTCCAAAGTATTTAATGATTCTTTACAAAATAATAGCCAGGAAAAATAACAGCACTCTGAAGGCCCTCTACTTTAGTAAGTAGCTATAATTTGGATTTCAGACTGGAAAAAGATTGATCTGAACTACTACAGAGGACAGGCAGGATATTCCTGATGAAGAAGTCCGGCTATAGTCTTTATCTTAAATACAGGGCAAATACACTCTGATTTTAGCCTTTGGAAAATGAATCCTGGAGGAAAATCCCAATTACCTACTTCATGCTCTCAACAGTGTGTCACCTCTATTAGAGGCTGACTGAAGTAGAAGAGAAATACAAACTTTGTACCTGCAGTTTCAGGGAGCTCCCTTCGAAGTGCCCCGAAGTGGCACAGTTTAAGACCGAAGGAGTACCTTTTGCTTTGAGGTTTTTTTACCCTCCTGTTCAAAGCAAAGTGTTAGCCATGAAATCCATCCTAAGACAGACAGTGTATTATCTGCCTTAGAGACTGGATATTCCAGTGTTCCTCACTACAATAAATCCTTTACTCTGTTCCACATCTGTGGTTGGTTGGGTTTTGGTATTTTTGTATGGGCTTTTTTTTTTTTTTTTTTGTGTGTGTGTATATGTGTTTTGTTGTTGCATTTTTGTTTGGGGTTTTTTTTGTTTGTTTGTTTTAGTTTTTTTGGCAAACCCTACTTCCCTTGACTACAATTCTCTTTCGTAAGTTTGTGTCTACTAAGTTGTTTCTTTCTTTTCTGTACAGACCCTGCCCAGAAGTCCCATATCTAACCATGGTTATGCAGCTGTAATCTGTGTTACACACGTGTAACCAAGGGTACACGTCTAACCATGTAAAGGGTTAAGATGTTCATCAGAGGTCTATTAATACAGTTATTGAGACAATGCTGGCGTGAATGAGACAAGTTAGCCAGGTTTCCAGCTTACCCAATTTGCCTTACTGACAATACAGCAGTGTGTGTAACACCCACAGCTCACTCTTTCTCATGGACTAGAGGAAATGATAAAAAACGCGGCTACCATGTAGTCCGGAATTTTCTAACCACAGAAACACCCATAGGCAGGGGCATAAGATTTTGCAGCTGGGGTAACCCCACCTCTGAACAGCAGCAAGTGTTCTCACTCCAGAGACCTACAGTCCGGATGTTTTTTTCCAGGAATTGACTGGGTTTCACACTCAAAATGCGCTGGTGTCCCTGCTTACATGCAGAGCTTGACCAAAGCACATGGCTGACTCGGCCCAGCTCCTCATCCTCCTCATCCCCCTGAGTGCTCAGGGCACAAACTGTTATTAAGGCTACCTGATATCAAGTCATAAAATAGCGTAGGTCACGCACCACCAAAGTAAAGAGTTGTGCTAAGGGCATATCTAGGTGGAACCTCCACTCGCAGCTTGCCAAGCAGCACGAAGGCACCCTTGTGCCTACTACATTTTTACACAGACAACCTCTGGGCAGTTGTTGTTCTCTAAACAACAAAAAACTGTATGGACCTAAAGTGGGGGACCATCAAAAAGGTGATTCCACACAGAAACAGACAAAATAGCAATTTCCAGTCAAGTGTAGACTTGTTCAGAGGCTGACTCAGAGCCCTTCCTACCATTTCCAAGCTTAAAGCCACGGCTGATAACAATGTCATTGGCATTGTTCCAGTCGTTAACTATACCAAATCATTCTTGAAATTGGTGAATAACGCAGCGTAATTTTAATATCCCATAGCTCCAAAGCTTACCAGCCTTCCAAGTGAAGGAGCAGTGTCAGGTGTTCAGATTTACAAAGGCGCTTTAAAATAGTCTCCTTTGAGTGGATCTGGATCTACTCCACCATTTCCAGTGAGGCTGTTACTACTGGCAATAATGCAGCCTTACTAACACCAGAGGAGGACCTAACAAGCCTTTAAAATGCAAATGTATGCAAAATCACCATATGGAAAAAGAGAAGTATCAGTGCCAAACTGCTAGAATAGCCATTTCATAACAGTTTGACTGGGGAAAGCAAATCTCTTAGGACAGCTCAAGGGAACTCAGGCCACTGCTAGTGATCATGACAGAACTCCACAGACAGCCACATCATTATCTGGTTTCCAGTACCTTTTTGTGCAAATTCTTGAGCTGAAAACACTTTGGAGGCTTCACGTATTCTTATGAGCTAGTCCATCATCAAAGGAAGAAGAGAGATTCTGCTCTCCACCAGCTGAATGCTTTCTTAGAGAAGGCAGGGCCACTCTAAGGTCTCAAGTTGATGTTGTTGTGGTACTAAAACTTGTATCTATTAAATATTTTACTTATCATGGAGACAAATATCTCTTCCAAACCTAGCTATCTTAGCTTATAATAATTCTTTCTCCAGGCAGTAAGGATACCTCGCTGTGACTTGATCAATGCTCCCCAAACTGTGAGTTTAAGATCAGCTTCCTCAACTTTCCAAAGACAGGCTAATCCAGCACATCTGAGGCTGACTGAGGAGCATCGGCGTACCTTTGCTGCTGGTGACCTGCAGAGTTATACTCCTGCACTCAACACAGGGGTTACGACAGACACCCCGGGGGCTGTGATTTCTTCAACTGTCTCTTGGAACAAAGGACATTGATCTGCAGGTTGTTTTAAAACACCAACGCTCTCTTTGGGAGAGGAGACATACAGCAGATCACACTGGAGGGATCCATCAGGGAGATCTGGTTTTGCGTGTTTCATTGCAGGGGTAAAATGATTCTGCTTCTCCACTGGAAGAACTGCCTTCCCTGTCTAGTATCCTCTCTATCATATTAGCTGATGCAGGATATTAAGTTCTTACCATATAAAACCATTTACCATTGTGCTCTAATGGACTGAGCACATGCAGTAGGAAGGGCAGAGTGATTTATACTGGAGTCTCACAAAGCTTTATGGGCTCCATTAGCGGCTGAATGCAAGACTACTTTTTGAGCTCCCACATTTTTTAATCTATATTTGCATTAAACGCTCACCCCTTGCCAGCACATTTGTATCCTTCTGCTGCTGCTGCCTCTCAGAAGCATTAGTGTGCAACTTGGTAAAGATTCACAGAATCCAAGAGGACTGTTCAAGTATAATATTTCACATGGAGTGGTGAGCTTACAAATGGTCATAAACATGAAGCTTCATCAAAACTAGAAAAGCCATTTTACAAATACACAGTAGATAGCAAACATTTCCTTATACTTACATGGCATTGCATGGTATATACTGGGCCAGTACTGCCCACTGTCTCTCTTCAGCCAGACACGAACTGTTCTACAAAAGAAAACACACACGTGAGGAAAAAATTAAAAAGTAACAACGAATGAAAACAAAGTAGTGATGATGAATGCACAAAACCTTCTTCAAACTTAAAGCATTTTGCTGAGAGGGAAAATAAACATGCAAACTCCTACAGCAGTCTTCTATATCAGCCTCAGATTAACCTCTGTAAGGTGATGAGGGCAGCCCATCCCTTGGTTCCATGTAGTACTCAACATCTCGGCTGAACACATCACAACAGTATTTGGAAACTGCTATGGCTTTTTGCCGGCCTGGAACGCTGCTGTTCATTAGCCCAGGGATGTACTCTTGTATCAGCCCACCCAGTCCCCTGCAGAAACCTTCTCCCTGATCTCAGGGTCCATCTGCTGCCCGTTGTTTCATTGTTCTGCTTCAGGAAACCCCCTAAGCAAAGGAATGAGGTTCTGAGACTTTCAGTTCCTATTTTCTAAGAGTATGTCCCTTTGTGCCAACAACGAGCTCTTCAATTTCAGGACCTTCCCCTCTTCTCAGTGTACTCTGAGTGCTATCAGATGCCCACTGAGCACCGGGCTGATGAAGCCAAACTCTCATCCTTCTCTGCAGAGGATGATCGAGGGGACAGGCAGACTTGCCGTCCTCCTCTGTGCCATCAGTTTGGAGTCGCCGTCCTTGAACAGAGGCACCTACAACCACACAGTGCTCCAGGCCTCCCCACAAACATGTCAGCAGTTTCTTCTCTCCTAGAAGACCTTCCTAGTGTATCTCAGGATTCCTTTTGCTTTCTCATAATCGTATTATGTTGGCAGCTCCCCCTCTCTCAATCCATGCCCTTCACACACTGGAGACACTTGTTGCTTGTTTCCTGAGCCGTGGATCTAGACTGATGTACTGTCTGGGTCATTAAATATTCATTGTTTCAGTACACATTATCATTTGCTTGTTTTGGTCCAATCTTTGAAGCCTCTTTCTAGTTGAAACTCTCTCTTAACTTCAGTTCATCAGCTAATTTCATCAAAACATACCTAGCAACAATGTCACCAGTTAAAGCAGCAGGCAACCAGTCATCTCCTGCTTGGTTTGTTCCTTCACAGCCCACTGTCATTTCAGTTACAGCCAACTGTTACCTGCCCTACTCTTCCACAAATCCTTATCATCTCCAATTTCAACTAGTAAGCTCTTCCATAATACTGCAGTCCATGTTTTACTGACGTACACCAAATACATTAGCCTCCTCGGGAAAATTTAGTTATCCAAGAGAGCATTATGTTAGTGTAGCACACTAACCCGCCACCCACTTCTATTTAGTCTTTTCCACCAAAGTTAGTATGCAATAGAAGATGCAAGAGGGATCTAAAAGAGTATTGTTAAACATAAACCTTATTTTCCTGTAACAAATCTATAACTTGCACTTGATAGTATTAAGGAAAAAAAAAAAAAAAACACCACCATAAAACCACAACGAAACAAAACCAAGCAAACAAGCAAAACAACAACAACAACCCCAAAAAAAGAAAAAATGCCAAACAAAAAACAAGCAAGAATGGCTTTTTCCAGTCCACAAAACACGTAGAAATACAGCTTATGGAGACGACTACACGGTCATTCCTACTGTCACCTCATTTTCATGGAAAAGCAGATTTCAGCCCCTTTTAGCCAGTAAAAGTTTAGAGCAACACAAATACAGCATCACACAATACGTCCAATATAATATAAATTGATCTAAGATATTACATACATAATTTGAGTCTGAACATAGATGCCATGCTATATAATAAAGCAATCCAAGAACTAGTTATCTATCCTGCAAACTTCAAGCTAAGGACTGTATCACTATGTGTTCCCGGATTGCCTACATCCAAAATCAGGTTTCTGCTCATCCTGCCCTGCATCCAAACTCATTTTTCAGCAAAGAATTCAGAGACCTGTGTATTTGGGCACTACACGAGCTGCATCATTTTAGAAATGTCTCATGACTATGCTTTGACACAATATGTCGCTCCAAAAACTAACGTTTCGCTGGGTCAACAAGTCCCATGGTTAGAAAGCTCTCACAAATTGCTCCAAACATAGACGATTTGGTATAACTACCTCCTAAGTCCAACGGCCTTTGTGCCACGAACACATCAGCAGCTCTATAGCAGATCTGAAGCAAAACCACCGATGCCTTTTCAGGGCCAATTCATCAGCTGATAACAACGCTATCGCGTTTTCTATAGCAAGAGGGTCAAATCCTTCCGTCACTTCTCACGGCAGCTAACCGTGTCCAGACCTCAGGGCACGGTTCTGGGAAGATGTCCGTAGCCACAGGGCTGCACACCGGGTTTGGGACAGGGTCCAAAACCTCTGGGTCCAGCCAAAGGGGGTCCCCCTTTGCTAAGAAGGTGGTCACTGTTAATTCTGGAAGCAGATCAGCCGCTCTGCTTTTCCAAACAGGAGAGCTCTTACTAACGTGCTCATCCTCAACAAGTGAAATTATCGTGGGAATGAATGAGCGTGCACAAAAAAAAAAAAAAAATAATGGGATGAAATAACTCAGTATGAAGCAGCCTGGGGAGGTTCACCAATATCCTGTGACCGTATCCGGACCGTACCGGTCTCTACAGTCAGTGTTACCAGTTTTGAAACTCCCAGGCTTCGTTTCTCCTCTCCACTTCGAGGCTCTGACAAATAATAAATGCAGTACAACACCTTACAGATAATTCAGCTCGTTAAAAAAGGGCGATGCACAAGAAAAGATCTTTCAAAAGCTGAAGGAAATAAATCTTATATTTATTTGCAAAAAATGGCAAACAGTTTGGATGGTTTGGCTTGTTTTTGTCATTGATTTTTGAGCTGTATCCTCCGCAGACTTACAAATGAATGTGACAGTTATGTCAACATTAAGACAGTTAGATGAGTGATACTGAAAAAAAATATTTTCTGCTTAAGCTTCAAAAAAAGACCCCAAACCAACAAAAAATCCTGGTGGAGGTTCCTAGTTAAGAGCAAAACTACTTTTACTAGTGTAGGCCTCTTCTGTAGGTATACAGTATGCTAATTTCTTTACATAGTCAAAAAAAATTTACACTCAATGACTAATTCATGCAAAATGAGAAACAAAGCATTCTAAGAATAAAAAGACTAGGAAAAGTTGTTATTTAACTCTAAGGTGTGTTAAAGGGAACGTAACCAGCAAGTCAGTTCATGTAACTCATTACAGAAATACTAATCTCCCAGTAAATTGTTTTAAATGAAGGAAAACAAAAGATCTTGTAAACAATTTATTTTAAAATTAAGGATGATTATTATGCATATGTTTAAAATAAGCATTTAAAAGTTACGTTAAGCATTGTAAAGGAATTCCAATATCTATGTGTAAGCTGATGTAAAAGGGTAAAAATTCATCCTTATGTCAGAAGCTGATGACTCACAATTTTCTTCTCTCAAAACCACTGGATTAGATTAGGCATTTTGTCAAAAGAAGAAAAACTGACCTCAGTTCATTAAACTTTTCTCGGTAACTTTTTCCTCAAAGTAGATTTGGGCTCAAGAACAAACTGTGCCAGCAACTGAACTTGGGAGAAGCCAAATGTTCTTGGAAGAGAGTGTCTGGGTTTTTTTTCAGCTGCAATTCTGTACATTTTTGTATACTTAACACAATACTACCCACTAGACGTGAAGCTCAGAGCTTCTGAAGCTTCTAAAGAACGCAAAGAAAAAGAACATGCATGAATGAAAATAAGTTTTTTTTATGGATATATAGCATGAAGAGTCCTTGCTGGTTGCATGGTTACCGGACTTAAACACAGCACCCACCCAGATCAGGCTCCATTCTTCAACTGCTCTAGAGTGATTCAGTCGGCATCACCATGGAAATGAGTTGCCCCTTCATTTTGTTGCCAGTGAATTGGCTTGGAAAGATTTTCAGAACCTGTCAAATCGATGGATACTCTTCTAGTCTCTTCATAACAGAGATGATATATTTTTTAATGAGACAGGCTACACCGAAATAATTCTGCCATGCAAAACACAGGCTACGTCTTCATCTATTAAGGGGTATGTGAAAAAATGTGTATTTTAAAAGAAAAATTGCTTCTCCCTGTTACGCTCAAGAGTGTGTCTCTCAAGTCCATGTGGTTGTGGTTGTACTGGCAGGTCCCAAACCCACTGCTAGGCTGCGCACACATGCAGGCGGTAGGCTTGATGTGAGCACCTACTGCTCACAGAGGTGAACGGCAGCACGCCCACCGTTACAGAAACTTAATTCAGTCAGCAGTACGTGCCATGGCATCTTCCTTCTGATAAAGACACTTCGCTCATACAAACCCTCGTTTGTGCATCCAGGTTGCAGTGTGCTCCAGGAAAGCCTGCACGATGCTGCTGGGCTGGGTGCAAGATCCTGTACTCAACCCCGAGTCTGGCCTGAGCAGTCACCTCACTGCTGGAAAAAAAATCGGTGTCAATTGGAGCGGTGGAGTTCAGTCTCTCTGACTGGCTCACAGTCTCTTGTCTTCCTTGGTGCCTTGCCATAAATGACAGCAAAAGGCAAATACTGGTGTTGCATACAGTACAGACATATTCGACATGCCTAAGCACTGTCCCAAGATGTTTGCGTGGTGCAATACCGTGAACCCTGTTGCGGGGAGACCCAACACCACCATTACCTCGAGAAACAAGTTACCCCCGTGCCACTCCACTCCTCCAGAAAATCCATAAAACCACCAGCTCTAGTTGTACAATGTGAGTGAAGAAATCCAGTATAGCAGTTTCCCACAACAGATCCCGCGTCTGCTGTTTGAGAACGTTTTCCTTCCTCACTCCTGCCTCTTGAAACATTTTGTCTTCGCTGAGATGCGTTGGTGTAACACGCCGTCGCCTTCGTGCCCCGGGCACGTGTCAGCTCTGTAACAGAGCAGAGGCAACCCTCAACGCGTAGAATTTACTACAATATTTTGTAGCTATTCTTGGGCTTCAGGAAATTGTTCTAAATGGCATTTTAACATACTCTTCATTATTGTTTATACCTTGAACCA